GTTTTATTTTAGTAATATTTTTCCAGCGCTGGCAGTTGAACCCAGGGCTTTGCACTTGCTAGACCGGTACTTCACCATTGAGCTACTTCCCAGCCCTTTCTTTTTTGAGAAAAGGGCTTGCCATGTAGCTCAGGCTGGCCTCAAACTTGAGATCCCCTGCATCCTTGTGAGTGCTAGGATTACAGGCGTGTACCACCATGTTCCATTTAAAATCTTGATGAGGCTTATGCCCATAATCCTAGCTACTCAGGAGGTTCACAGTTCACAAGACCCTGTCTCAAAAAAACCCTTCACAAAAAAGGGCTGGTGGAGTTGCTCAAGGTGTAGGCCCTGAGTTCAAACCTCAATATTGAAAAAAAAAAAAAAAAAACTTGATGAGAGCAATTTAGGAAGCCCTGGATGAGCCTCTGAGATCCAAGTTTGAGTGGACATCCTACCCCTCCTTGGAGCAGAGAGCCTGGAACCCTGTGGTAGAAATCTTAGGAGTAGGATTTTGTCTTGGGTTTCTTGTTAATAGGCTGAGGGGCTGAGGTAGCATTCATCCCTGTTCAAGTTGCACTTTTGAATTCCTGTGTGTGGCTGGGGCACCTCTGCCTTCTGTCCCCTCAGGTGGAGTGGGTGCTGTGGGGGTCACTGCTGCCCCTGAGTTTTAGAATCTCAGGCCCTGGGGTACTGGCTGATCTGCAACTCCATCTCACGTTGTGCAGGTCACTGCCACCCTGCCATCCTCCACTTAGACATCTGACAGGAAGAGGGTGGGAGAGCTGGCCCGAATGTCTCCAGCCCTGTCAGGTGTCCCCTGAGGCAAGTTGAAGACCTCTGTATCAAAGGAGCCCAAGCCATTCTTGCCTCCTGGGTATCTGTCTGGGACAGTGGGGTGAGCCTGGAGCCCCTGGTCTATCTCCAGAAGGGTTTGGCTTACCTGTTTGGGTGAGTGCACCTCAATTCAGCCCTTAGGCTGAGAGTGTTGTGTAGAAACTGGGACCATTTAGGCATGGGAGAGGCTGGAGCTGAATGAACCAGGTTGTGAAGAACCTGAACATTGGGGGCTGTTGTGCCATACTGGGTTTGAACTCAGGGCTTTCACTTTGAGTCACTCCACCAGCGCTATTTTTGTGAAGGGCTTTTCAAGATAGGGTCTTGCGGTACTGTTTGCCTAGGCTGGCTTCAAACCAAGATCCTCCTGATCTCTGCCTCCTGAGTAGCTAGGATTACAGGTGCAAGCCACTGGCACCTGGCTGTAGCTAGTCTTTTGCTTTGTTTGAGACACAGTCTTACTATGGTGCTCAGGCTGGTCTAGAACTCTTGATCCTCCTACTCCACCTCTGGAGTGCTAGAATTACAGGCATATACTTCCATGCCCATCCATAGCTTATCTTGTCATTTTCTTCAGAGGTTCTTTCACACAGTAAGAGATACTCCTTTTGTTGAAGGGCTGGAGGTATGACTCAAGTGGTAGAGTGCCTGCTTTGCAAGCGCCAAGCCCTGAGTTCAAGCCTAGTACCACCAGAAAAAAAAAAGGTTTTGCTTTTTGAATCTTGCTTGTAGTTTGAATCTAACAATTCTTGGCTACTCCTAAATCCTAAAGATTTTCTCAAGTGGGTTTCTTTCTTTTTCGTGATATTGGGGTTCAAACCCAGGGTCTCATACAGCCTAGCCAAGTGGATTCTTATAAAAATTTTATTTAAACCTATGATCAATTTGGGTTAATTTTTGTGTAAGGAGGCAGAGAGGCTTGAGTTGAAATTACTATTATTTTTGGTGGCGCTGGAGTTTGAAGTCAGGGCCTCACACTTGCTAGGAAGGCACTTTACCACTTGAGCCACTCCAACAGCCCTGTTTTGTGATGGGTTTTTTTTTGTTTTGTTTTGTTTTTTGTTTTGTTTTTTTTTTCGTGGTAGGGTCTCTCCAACTATTTACCCAGGGGCTGGCTTTGAACTGCAGTTCTCCTGAGTAGATAGGATTACAGGCGTGAGCCACTGGTGCCTGGTGAGCACTTCCTCTTTATTCTTCACCAAACTTGTTTCAGCCCTTTCCTTTTCCCACTCCCTGTGCCTTTTCACTTAATTTCTGGATTATGCTATCCAGGTCTACCAAAAGTCTTGCTGAGAAACCATTTTGATGGGAACACACAATACACACCTAGTGGGATAGGTAGACTGAAAAACCAACACCAGATGCTGACTAGGAAGCTAAGGACCTGGACCCTGTGTGCACAGCTGGTGAGAGCGAAGAGAGGTACTGCCCCAGGGGTCTGGCGGTTTCTTAAGCTGAACATAGTTCCCCTGTGACCTGGTGCACAGTCTCCTGGTGCTTACCCTAGAGAACAAAGGAATCGCACTGTGTGACAGTATTCATTTGTTTCTAGTAGCAAGCAGTCAGAAACCAGTGTCTTCCAGTGGGTGAATAATTAAATTGGAATTCCCCTGTCTTGGGTTACAATGCAGCCCTATAACAAAACTTAGGAGCTGCAGCAGCATAGCTTTGCCTGGAGGGTGATAGGTCAGTGCAGGAAGCCGTCCTGACAGTCTACACGTTGTGTATCCATCTGCCAGACATAGTCAGCAATGACACTCTTGAGGTGGCCAACAGGCGAGTGTTCCTCAGAGGTTGGAAAAGTATGGAGGGAAATGAGGGCATTTGTAGCTTAGTGGTTCCTTGGGCACATGGACCAGCAGACAGATGAGTGTGTAAAAGTGGTGAGTCCAAGTCTGCTGGGTTCAGCCAGGTTTGGCCTCCTGGTTTTAACATTGTGCTGCAGTTAATAACACAGGGTAACTGGGTCAGCTTGCTGCGTATCTTAACTGTTAAGAGGGTTGGAGGAGTGGCTCAAGCAGTAAGACACCTGCCTAGCAAGCACAAAGCTCTGAGTTAAACTCCAGTGCACAAAAAACAGCAACAACAATAAAAAAACAAGGACCCAGAGTGGTGGCTCATGTCTGTAATCCCAGTTACTTAGGAGGTAGAATTCAGGACGATTGTGGTTAGAGTCCAGCCTGTGCAAAAGAGTTTGAAACACTCCATCTCAACCAATAAGCTGGGTGTGTTGGTATGCACCTGTCATCCCAGCTACTCAAGAAGCATAAATAGGATGGTCGGGATCCAGGCTGGCCCTGGGTGTAAATGTGAGACCTTATTTGAAAAGTAACTAAAGCAAAAAGGGCTGGGTGCATGGCTTAAGTGGTAGGGCACCTGCGTAGCAAGCATGAGGTCCTGAGTTAAAACCACAGTACTTCTAGAACAAAAGGGCTCCCCCTCAGGACATCTGTACCCTGTCCACATGTACCTAAGAGGTCATGGCTGTAGAGAGGCTGGCAAGAGAGGGAGCACGTGGCCGAGGGGAGGAGTATTGCTCTATGGGGCTGGGAGCTGTGGCCCCGCTGTGCACCTCTGCTGGAGCCACTGACTCTGTACTCCTGCCTTACTGCTGTTTTTCTTCTGTACCAATATTTCTATTAATTCTCCTATTTTTCCTTGTTAATGTAATCTCAGAATTCCTTAGTCCCTATGTGGAGGCTAGAGTTCTAGAAACTTAAGTGTGGAGCTGGGCAGTCTTCCCCACTTGATGTGGATGAGCAGCATGGCCACCCCAGCTGCCCCAGTCTGTTCACTCCCAGCCCCTTGCTACCTGTTTCAGTCTCACTCTCCCTGACTGAGGTGTCAGGTGGAACCATGAGGCTGAGGCCAACACCAGTGCCTATTGTACCTCCAGGTCCATTCTGTTCAAAAGCTTTAAGGTGTCACTGTGGCTTTGGGAAGGTGACAAATGGATTTGGTGAGGACACTCATGGCCTGGCTTGTCATGTTCTGAAATGTGAACCAGAGCACATGGTAACCATTTTTTCTGTGAGAATTTTCTTTGAAAGTATGGACACTGCTTAGGAGTGGGGTGCAGTTTTTGTCTGCAGCCACTGTCCTGTGACTGCTTCTCTGAAGCCCAGGGATGGTGGCCTATGGTGAGGCCAACCCTGCCCCTCGCATAGCTTCCCTGTCCTAGAACCTGGTGTTGGTGGAGGACATCTGCTGGGAAGTCCTCAGGCTTCATTCTCCCATGTTTCTTTCAAAATTTGCTTTTGTTCAGAGTCTGTAGGTACTTTGAAACTAGTCACTGTCAAATTTATTAGCGATTTCTTAGGTTAGCAAAGGGTAAATCATAGTGCTCCTGGTCTTGTGTCTTTGTTAAGGGACTTCTCAAACAAGCCAAGGGAGAGATGGGCTGTGAGCCCCCAGCCCTGGCCTACTCCTACCATATCCATCCACACCCCCACTCCATCGTCGCTTTAGCGATCTACACCTTCAGTCTATTTTGCTCTGGTTATTTTGGAGATAGGGTCTTGAGAAATACTTGCCCTAACTGGTCTCAAACTGCCATCCTCCTGATCTTAGCCTCCTACATAGCTGGGGTTATAGGCTTGAGCCACCAGTGCCAAGCTTCTAAATATGTCTTTACAGTGAGGGAGATACTTCAGTATCAGTGCAGCACTCAGTCAGGTCTTTGCAGCACCTGACATCTACCAGGCTCTGGTTTCCTGGATGCTTCACAAACTGCAGGTTTTTTGCAGTCAGATCCATTGAGGTCCTCACATATCAGGACCTAAAAGGAGAGCTGACACAGCTCTCCTTTTAACTTCTTGGGCAAGAAACCTCTGGCCTGAACCTGAGGAGGAGGCTGGTATTAAAAGACAAAGTGTTCAGGTGCCCCAGAAAAGATCCCTGCAATGTGGTGGGGATGGGGAGGAGCACCCCCCACACCCTCTAGTAGGAGAAGTAGGAGACGGACAGGATGCTTGATCACCTCAGGGATGCTACCTGTGGCTCCAGGGAGCCTCTGACCCTTACACCTCATTGCCTGCCAAGAGAACAGGGCCATGTTTTTTGAGAGCAGGCAAATTCTTGTTCTTCTCATGACTTTGGTTAGAAGCCATCAGGAAAGTGCCTGGCTTCACCTGCCTGTCCAGGATCCCACCCTTAAGGCCACTGTGTCTTCTCTGTCCCCTCAGGAATGGGCACTACAGATCATGTCATCGTCCTGGCCTCCACAAATCGAGCCGATGTTTTGGACAATGCTCTGATGCGGCCTGGCCGACTCGACCGGCATGTCTTCATTGATCTTCCCACTCTGCAGGTCAGAACCTTGAGGAACTTGGGGTGGCTTCATCCGTGTCAGATGTCTTCCTTCCTGACCTGGCCTTGGTGCCAGCCAAACACTGAGCTCAGCCAGACAGCGTATGATCCCTTTGGGTGCCTTTTTTTGCAAACTTAGGGCCTCAAGCTTGCTAGGCAGTTACTCTGCTACTTGAGCCACACCCCTAGTCCTTTATGCTTCAGTTATCTTTGTAAAAGATTCTTGCTATTTTTGTCCAGGGCTAGTCTCAATCCCGATCCTCCTACCTACTTTGCCTCAACCTCTGGAGAGCTAAAATTATAGGCATGAAATGAACCACCACAACCAACTTACTGATTGAGAGATGTGATCTCCCTAACTTTTTGCTTGGGCTGGCCTTGAACTGAGAGCCTCCTGATCTCCAGTTCCAGAGTAGCTGGAATTACAGGCTTGACAATGCCCAATTGTCTTTTTTGTTGTTGTTGTTTTGGTGGGACTGGAGTTTGAATTCAGGGCTTTGAGCTTGCAAAGCAGGTGCTCTACCGCAAGAGCCACACCTCCAGTCCATTTTGCTCTAATCATTGTTTTGAAGATGGAATCTTATGAACTATTTTCCCAGGCTGACCTCAAGACTCGATCCTCCTGATCTCAAACCTCCTGAGTAGCTAGGATTACATTTATTTTTTTATGTAGTACTGGGGTTTGAATTCAGGGTTTTGTACTTACTAGATAGGTGTTCAACCACTTGAGCCAGGCCTCCAGCCCTGTTTTTCTTGATTTTTTTTTTTTTTTTTTTAAATAAGACAGGGTCTCACTATGTAGCCTTGGCTGGTTTTTATACTCACAAACCTCCTGCCTCAGCTTCTGAGAGCTGGGACCCCAGGTGTGTGCCTCCATGCCCTGTGTTCCTTACTCACTGCTCTTTCTTGGGTTTTGCAGCTTGCTTATGTTTACCCACTGTTGTTCTGTTTCTATCCTTCAGTGTTGCAGTTGATTTTCCTGGTCTGGGTTAGGTTTTATAGCAAATTCTTTGAAACTGAATCTGTGGGGGAAAATAAGGGAAGGGAAGAGAAGGTCCATTCCTGCAACTTTTCTTCTGTCTCAAGGTTTGAGGAAAAGCCTTGGAATTTTCATCCTGCCCCTCACAAGAGCTTGGCTTTGCCCTGGGCGTGGGGTGGGTAGAAGTCCTGGCTAATAGAGCTTCCTGCCCTGACAGCCTCTTGTCACGGCCCCTGGTTGACATTGTGCCACCTGGGCCTTTGCTGTGTTCATGAGGGAGCAGGACTTCTGGGTGCAGTGAAGAGGATCCAAGTGTGGTGGGAGAGGCTGTGAAGAGCAAACCTGAGGGCTCCCAGCGGAGATGTGGGGAGCAGGCCACACACACACCTCGGAAGCCACCTTACTCTCCAGGAGGCTGACTGCCTCTTGACTACATAGGAATGTTTCATCAGGATCTGGTACATGCAGCATGTGTGGGAATTGAGAAATTTGTGGAGTGCTCACTTCTGCACCATAACATGGGCCCTGCTCAGGGATGATACACAAATTCTTGAAGCATTCCATATTACAGAAAGAAAGTTTTGTGGAATAGACCCTCCTTGTGATGTGCTGTACTCTCTCATCTGTTTTTTCAAATTAGTTTTCAAACTCTGGGTGGTGACTTAGGATGACAGGCACTAGTTTAAAAGCCAACAGCTCCTGTGAGCCTTGATGTGTCTTGTCCACGGGGCTGATGGGGGGATGCTGTGCCATGTTGGCTGGGTGTAAGTCCAGCCTGTGTTCCCCATTTGTGGCAGGAGAGGCGAGAGATTTTTGAGCAGCATCTGAAAGGCCTGAAGCTGACCCAGACCAGCAGCTTTTACTCCCAGCGGCTGGCAGAGCTGACACCAGGATTCAGCGGTAGGTCCTCAACCTGTAGCCTCAGTATGTTTTTGAGGGTAGGCATCACAGTCGCACCCTGTGGACCTTGGCACTGCCCCTGCTCTAGGGTGCTGGTCATTTCAGGACTGGGTGGGATGAGGCAAATACACAGGCAGCAGAAGGCCAGGAGAGGTGAACCCTCTTCTTCCAACAGTGGAGACTAAGCATGGGTAGAGTGGTGACGTTTGGGTCTCCAGCAGTGTGCCTTATAGCAGCCCCAGTGCTTCTGCCTATAGGGCATTGTGGGACAGTCTGCCTGTGTCCTCACTTGTGTGGCATGTCACATGGGGTCTTCAGATCAGACCAGCCCCCCCACCCCCGCCTGATTTAACAGTCTGTTAAATCAGTACAAGTAGACATCACAGGTGAAGGGTTTCTTTTTTTTTTAATTGCTCTCATTTTAAAGATCAACATAGATAATAACATTCTTCCTATTGCAGCTTTTTTTTCCTTTTGAATATCCTTTAGTTTTTAGACACCATGGGTTTTGAACTTGGGGCCTCATGCTTGCTAGGCAGATGCTCTACTATTTGAGCCCCCACCCTGAGAGTCTGTTTCCTACCATCAGTGCCCTGCATGTCAGTGGCATAAAGCACAGATGACCATGTGGGAAGGGGATGACCTGAGGATATGGCAGTGGCCATTGCTCCCATGAAATGGCTTTGGTCTAATAACACTGAGAAAACTTCCTGTCTGCTTGCTGTTTCTCCCACTTCCTGCACTGCTCCCCATTGCCACTTTTCTTCCTTTCGTTTCCTTTTCGTCTTCTTTTTTCCTTTCCTTTCTACATAGCAAAGCAAGGTCTTGCTGTGTAGGTTAGGCTGGTTAGGAACTCAAGGTCCTCCTGTCTCAGCCTCCCAAGTGCTGGGATTACAGGCATACACCACCACTTCCAGCTCTCTTCTCTCCTGTATTCCTTGAGAACTTCATTTTTTCCATTAGCTTCTCTGAGTGCTGACAGGAAAGCAAACACAGTGTTTGTGTTGACAGGAGCTGACATCGCCAACATCTGCAATGAGGCTGCACTGCATGCCGCACGGGAGGGGCACACATCTGTGCACACATTCAACTTTGAGTATGCCGTGGAACGTGTCATTGCTGGTATGAAGATTGCACCCCTGGTTAAGGCCGGTACTCCTTGCAGGGCTCAAGCGTGGAAACACCCAGACAGACCAGGCAAACAAATCAAAGTGAGGTGGCATAGAGGGCATCAGGCTCTGACATCCTATTTCTTAAGTCAGTGGCAAGGAATTGTTACTCTTGTCAGTTTAAGATACTGAAATTTACCGAAGTGCAGACATATTCTTTAAACAAATACTAAAATACCTGCACACCCACATGCAACTGGCCCTTTCCCAGTTTCTCTGTGGTGGCTGAGAGCCAACCAACCACTGGCCAGAAGAAGCCCACCCAGCTGCATTTTTGAGTAGGCAAGGCTGCTGCTGCCTGGGACAGGGAGGCATATGAGAGATATGTGTGCCTTTGGCACCTGCAAGGCCTCTGGGAAAGGGGTACATCTGTCGCTGACCCCATACTCAGCTGAAACTCATGACCTTGGTCATTATAGGATGGGATCCAAGTTTTGCAGTGGGGGAAGCACTGTGGAGCAGTGCTTAACCATGACTTCTCAGATGGGGTCTGAGGAGATCTGAGGAGAGCAGGACTGAACCTGAGTGAGCTCTGGAATCTTTCACAGCCCAGGTGGTAGCTTCCACGCTGACCCCCATATCTTCTGGTTGATGGGGCTAACCAGCCCAAGCTTGGTAGGTGGCATAGGTTTGTAGGGAGTCCTCCTTGCCACACCAGAACTCTGGCTTCCTTTTATGCTGGTCCCCTCAGTTTGAGTTAATGTTTAGAACACTTGCCAACCCAAGTTCCCAGGGCTGCAGCTTGGGAAGCAGTGAGTTCCTGTCAGAGGGGCAGAAGGGGTGGTGCCCTGCCTGGAGCAGACCAGGTTTCTCCCCAGCAGCCAGGAGGGAAGGGTGAGCTGCAGGAGAGTGTTTTGTATAAGACGCTTATATGGGAGTTGGTAAGCTTTCAGTAACAGCATCAAGGTGAGGGAGACTTGAGGGGGAACAACAGGCCCATTAAGGAAATACTAACAGGACACTGTCTCATGCGTGTGATGCTGAGAGCATGAGTTTGTGTTGAGGTGGAGCCCATGGCCTCTCAGCCACAGACTCCTTGTCAGCTGTGGCTGGAGTGACTCAGCTGTGCTGCGGTGCAGTGAGTCTGGTAGGAGATTCCTGTTGCTTTTTTCTAAGTGCTGTGAGCACAGGGCTACTCAAGATGCATAACATGGGAACTTAAAGGTCTGTGGAAAGTTGGGTGAAATGTACTGCAGCAGAAGTTTGAGCAGCGCAGTATAAATACTCATCCCTAGGTAAGAGGCCACCAGCTCCTAGAAGGACAAACTGGACTGTAGAGCAGGACCTGCAGCTGCTACTTGTGTTCTCAGTGGAGTGTGGATCAGAAACCTGGAGCCAGAGGGCACTGCTGATGATGCTGCCAATGATAAAATCAGAACCAGCCTCTGAGCTGGGTGCCAGTGGCTTACGTCTATAATCCTACCTACTTGGGAGGCTGAGATCGAGGTTCAAGGCCAGCCTGGGCAAACAGTTCGCACTACTACCCCCTCTGCAAAATAAACTAGAGGTGTGGCTCAAGTGGTAGAGTGCCTGCTTTTAAGTATGAAGCCTTGATTTCAAAAAAAAGAAGAACCAGCCTCTACACCCTCCAGCCCCAGCCTGCTGGCTCATCCAGAGGGTGGGGAGAGTAAGTTGAAGTTGAAGGATGCGGTTATTTCTGAAGTCTGAAGAACTGTTTCCATAGTTTCAGAGGAGTCCAGCATGTATCGGAGGAAAGGATGGGCCCCCCTGCACCCCGTCCTCCTTCAGAGTCCCCTTGAACCATCATGCAGTTTTGAGTTGGGGCACAGCTGCAAAGAGAGAGCCCAGGATGAGTGGTGCCCAGGCTTGCTGTACTTAAAACTCCATTCTCGGCTTCTTTCAGGGACTGCCAAGAAGAGCAAGATCCTTTCCAAGGAGGAGCAGAAGGTGGTGGCCTTCCATGAGTCCGGCCATGCCCTTGTTGGCTGGCTGCTAGAACACACAGAGGCTGTGATGAAGGTGGGTCATGGACAGGCCTGAGCTCCACAAGCTCAAGCTGGTTTAGGAAACCCTGTGTTTGTGATCATGAGAAAAAAGCCTGAAACGTACAACTCAGGCCCCAGACAATGGCAGGAACTGGGTGACAGAAGCAGGAATAGGTCCCAAGTCAAACGTTTAAACTGCAGATTCGGTTTCCAGCATGACCAAAGAGTCTTACGTGTTCAGGGTCACTGTCCTGTCTACCTCAGCCTCCCAGTGGAAAGGTGTGCTCAGTCGGCTCTCAATGACTGACATTGGAGTGAGCTGAGCATCCATGAGAGCTGAGCTCTCATAGACAATCGTGAATTTGATGAGAACTTACTCCTGTCACATGGTGATTTTATAAACAGCTTCCAGAAAAACGTGGAACAAGCCTGGAGACCCTTGAATGGCCATTGAGGAAGCCAGGGCTATGGGAGGTGGGGGCCTGACTGTGACTGAGGGAATGACCGCTGGTTCACCCTCCTGGAGGCCTCAGTGGCTCCGAAAAGTGTCGGGCTGAGCAGGTGGTTTGGTTTGCGGTACCCCCTGCTCCCACCCTCACACTGCAGAAATGAGACCAGGCAACAGAGCCACTGTACATTCATGTTCAGTCTCCACTATTGCTTGGAGTTAACTGGCAGCATCAGCTGTTGGCTAGTCATGTTTGAGGAGGTGCAGGGAAGCCTTCATGTGCTCTGGAGCTGAGCATCAGGAGACTGGCTCTCACATGCTGCCCCATGAGGATTCAGCAGTTACTGAGTTGACGGGGCCAAGGCCCCATGAGGCCAGTGGGCATTAATGAACTCGGCAGTGATGATAAATAGCATCTCAAAAAATCCGTGATGGACAAGTGTCGAGACTTTAGACTTCTTTTTGCTTTTAGAATTTGCACTTTTTTGAAGGCTACAAGTCAGGTAAGCCGGTCACATTGTAAAGGAAGACTAAATACTGTCTTGTTACCGGCTGTTACCGTGATTGTAACCTGGTACACACTAGGGAAGTGCTGTACCACTGAGCTGTAACTGCAGCCCTGGCTTTAGGTACTAACTTAGGGTTCCTCTTGGGGCACCGACATGGTCTTCTACCACAGGATCACAAAAGCAGCTGGACCAGCATGGGACCCCCCTCCACCCATCTTTCTCCATGGTAACGCTTCTGTTCCTTGTCCTGTTGGAGCAGTGGCCCCGCCTCCTCTTTGCATACCTGGATTTGGGTTGGGGAGAAGACAAGGTGGCAGTCTCTGTTCCTCTCACGAATCCCAGAGTGTCCCAAGGATATCAGCATGGACTGGTATGAGAGGTGGAGTTTGTTCTCACACTTCACGATGATATCTAAGAGATGTATGTTGACTGCCTGTGTATGTAGTGATAACAAGGGACATACAGAAGCTCCTCTGTGCTCCCATGAGCCATCGTCTGGTGTCAGGATTCTCTTGAATGAGGTGGTACAGATTTGACTGACTGCCTAGAGTCCTTGGTGACATATCTATTTCACGTGGTCCTTCCCTCCCTTTAAGGCCATATGATCCCAGCTTACACTTTACCTTGAACTTCTGCAGGTCTCCATAGCACCTCGGACGAATGCTGCCTTAGGCTTTGCTCAGATGCTCCCCCGAGACCAGTACCTCTTCACCAAGGAGCAGCTGTTCGAGCGCATGTGCATGGCCCTGGGTGGCCGTGCCGCTGAGGCCATCTCTTTCAGCAAGGTCACCTCTGGTGAGGGGCTAGCCCCAGGGGTCTGGACTTTCAGAGCACTTACGTTCATTTCTCTTTGCTCTGTGCATGTGATGGAGTGAACCTGATAGAAGATGTACACAGTGTAGCAGATGTAGTTTGAGCTGTGGCCAAGGGAAATTTGGAACTAGGCAATTTTCTTTTGGAGGAGGGGTAGTACTAGGGATTAAACCCAGGGCCTTGTGCATGCTAGGCCTCTTCAGCCATGCCCCCATGCTTTTGTTTGTATTTTATTTTTGAGATACAGTCTCAAAAGACCTTATAGGGCCTCGACTGACCTTGATCTCAAGATTCTCCTCCCGAGAGCTGGAATTACATGTCTGCACAACCACACCTGGCACTTAGCACTAAGCAAGAGTAGCTGTACAGAATTTACATATATGCAGATTGTAGATGCATTTAATTGGTTAATTATCCATTGTGGCTGCACAGAACTAGTTGAAATTGAAGCAGTTTCTCTGTTCTCAAGCTGTTATTCCACTGGAAAGTCCAGAGCAGTCACAGAGCCTAGGGACATCAAGCCTCGTGGATGACAGGTTTGCCTTGTGCATGCCTGGCCTTGTGCTTGAGCACTGCCCTAAGTGAGGCAGAAGGGCATCCTAAGCAGTCACTTGCAACCCAGGAGCATTTCTCAGTTAAGACTCTTTAAAAGCCTGGTTGTCATGGCTTACATCTATGATTTTAGCATCTCAGAGGTAGAGGTCAGGGGGATTGCAGTTTGAGGCCAGCCTAGGGAAAAAGTTAGCAAGATACCAACTCAATCAATAAAGAGCTGGGTGTGGTAGCGTTTGTCTGTCATCCTAGCTATGCAGGAAGTATAAATAGGATTGCAGTCCAGACTGGGCTGAGCATAAACGTGAGACCTTGTTTGAAAAATACTTAAAGCTAGAGCTGTGGCTCAGTTAGTAGAACACCTGCCTAGCAAGCATGAGGTCTGAGTTCAAACCCCAGTACCACAAAAAAGTTTCTCCTTCAAGGGGCAGTAACAAGGTGCAATGTCCCCATGTCTGCATGCGGATGTTCCCAGGCATGAAGTGTTCACAAAGGTGCCCTGCCAGTCCACAGACTCTGATGAGGTCTGGGGGCCAGGAACTCCTGTGCACATGAGGATGCCCCTTTCCTGACCCTGCATTCCAGGGGCCCAGGACGACCTGAGGAAGGTTACCCTCATCGCATACTCCATGGTGAAGCAGTTCGGAATGGCACCTCGCATTGGGCCAGTCTCCTTCCCTGAGGCACAGGAGGGTGTCACAGGCATTGGACGACGTCCCTTCAGCCAGGGCCTGCAGCAGATGATGGACCATGTGAGCTGTTTGGGCCTCGGTGTTGTATATCTGCCCGTGGGGGAGAGGGGCATCTGGGCCTGTCAAGCTCTCTCAGAAGAGTGCTGTGTTGCAGTCTGATGTGGGTTTTCTCTCTTGGGCTCTGTTGACTGTTTTCTTGGATGAGAACCCTTAGAGGGTTCTGAATAACATTGTAGATGTGAATCCGAGAAGAATGTAAAATGAACACTTGGAGTGATGGAACCACTACACTGACCTATACATGCAAGGACAGGGTAGTGTCCAGACCTGTCTTAGGGCAGCTCTGACTCCCTGTGCTCTCGTGGCAGCTGAAGTACAGCAGAGGAAAAATGGGCCCTCCACTTTCCACCCACAGGGTGTGAGCACACTGTCCACTGCTCATCCTGAGAGATAAAGATGTGTTCTCGACCTGCACTTTGGTGTTGGAGCTGGCTGTTGGTGATAAGTCTGTGAACAGTGTCTGTCTCTTTCCTTCACAGGAAGCAAAGCTGCTGGTAGCTATGGCCTACAGACACACTGAGAAGGTGCTACTGGACAACCTGGACAAGTTGCAGGCGGTGAGGGCATCCAGGGCATTGGGTCCCATAGAGCATTTGAGATGCGTTCAGGTGTGGAAGAGGACAGCCAACCCAATCCCACCAGCTCAGATGGGGTCTGATGTCTCTCCTTCTTTTTATCATGAGCATGCCATTTCAGTTTCCTCAAAGTGGATTATGCTCAACCCTTGTGAACATGTTGTGCACAGTTTTAGATTTACAGAGAGGCTGCAATTCTAGTAGCGTCCCCTTATGTCCTGTATGTGTTCCCTATAGTTAACACCTTCGTTAGTATGGAACACCTTCACAACCCAGTGACTCCATACTAACACGTTATTAGCTCAGGTCCACACTGGACTTACATTTGGCTCTTCCTCATTATCCCTTTCCTGCCCACGGTCTGACAGGACCTACAGTTGTAACATTTTTAGGCTCCTCCTGCCTGTGACAGTCTCTCAGATCTTCTTGTTCTGATGACCCTGGCTGTCCTGAGGGTGGTATGGTGTTGTATGGGATACACTGACATTTTCTCAGTGTGGGTCCTCAGTTTGGGGAGGACAGCCCCAGAGGTCATACTTTGTGTCCCTGGGTTATGATAACTCCCTCCCAGAGCGCAGTAGAGGAGATGGCTCTTTGTGCCACTTGAAGATGGACAGAAGGAACAGCTGGCAGCTGTTTCTTAGCTTCCTCTTATTTCCTTAAAATGAGGTAGCTAAGCCTGGCATGGCAGTTGCATGTCTATAATCCCAGCACTCAGGAGACTGAGGTGGGAGGATCATGAGTTTGAGTCCAGCCTGGGCTACATAATGAGACCCTGTCTCAGAATTTAAAAAAAAAGATTGGAGGTGTGGCTCAGGTGGTAGAGCTCCTGCTAAGCCCCGACTTCAAACCCTAGTAACACTAAAAGAAAGAAAATGGAGGCAGCTGCTGTATTGGGCAGGAATTGTGTTTCCGGCCTTCAGTGTTGGCCCTGAACCAGAGCACCTGCCTCTCCAGGCGCTGTGGGCAGCACAGTCTCAGGCTGAAGCAGGCTCTGCATGGGAACGAGGTACACATTGTTGGCCAGTGCTGCACTGCATGGGAACGAGGCTGGGGGTGGGCATCCCTCTGACTGTAGGGTAAAACTGCTTCTGTTTAGACTGAACTTGTAGTCAGTAGGCTCTGGTTCTTAGGACTTACCATAGCAGCCAGTTCGGGGGGAGGGTCACCATTTTGTCCAGAAATGTGGAAAATGGGGCTGGAATGCAGCTCAATGGTAGAGTACTTAACTAGCATGGGTTCCATCCCCAGCACCAAACAAAAAGGAAAATGTGGGAGAGTTTTGCTGTAACCAGCAAGATGTGGCTGTGGACGCAGGACCTTTAGGATGCCTTAAAATAGTTTCCAGGGCTATATTTGAAGTGCCAGAAGCCCCCACCCCCATTGTGAGCCCTCCCAGCTCTCATGCCTCTGTCAGTACCCGTCTCCCTAGGTTCTAGTAGGGAGGCTCCACACTTTTCATCCCTCTTCCCCACAGGCACACATACCTTGTTTAGTGAAGGAATGCAGTTGCCAAAAATAAGCAGAAATTTTGAAAGGAAGTAGAGAAATTAATGAGACTGGCAGCTGGCAGATCACTTCCAGGGTTGAGACAGGGAGCCATTCTTCTTTACGTGAGCTGTGTTCACGACTCTGCTTCCTTGGGAAAGTGGCCTGTGGAGGTGTCCTGCCCACAGACAAGCTCCCATGCCACTGGGATACAGAGAGGCCTCTGTGGAATGTGTCCCCTTGTGAGCTGCAATACTCTCAAAGGCTCTTGTCTTGTCTGTGTCTCAGGGACTCACACACTGCTTTGTTTGTTCTTTCTAGCTGGCGAATGCCCTTCTGGAAAAGGAAGTGATAAACTATGAGGACATTGAGGCCCTCATTGGCCCGCCGCCCCATGGGCCTAAGAAAATGATTGCCCCACAGAGGTGGATCGATGCCCAAAGGGAGAACCAAGCCTCTGGGGAGGAGGAGGCGGCTCCACAGATAGTTGGAGCTCCTCCACTGCACCTGTGGTGATCCGGGAACTGCTCACCTCGCCATTCAGTTCCTTTCAGCCCTCAGTGGTTTCTACTGAAGGGCTTCTATTTATTGGTTTCCCCTATCTATGGGTAGTAAATTTCTTTGCTGAACTGACTGACTGAACTTTGCATTTGTACCACACTTCCCCTGTGGGGAGGAATTTCAGCACTTATATGAGAGTGCCTATAGAGTCTCAAGCTCCCAGGGTTTAGACAATGTCTCCACGTGTGGCATTGTGGATGTGACCCACCTCAAAACTGTGGTGTGCCTGTGTGTACCTGAAGCTTGGGCATGGCCCATCCCTGTCCTGTGATTGCCTCAGAATGCTAACAGATGAAAGGACTCTGTTGAACCAACTGCCCTTGTCCTCATGCTGCTCACTCTTCAAGGGGATTACAGAGGATGACTGGGCTCTGGGCCCTAGAGAATTCAAACACTGCCACCTACCGCCATGTAGACGGTGTGTCGAGAGCCTCTCCTCACTGTTCTGTCCTGCTGCTTCAAGGACACCTTTTTTGTTTGTTTTTTTGGTGGACCTGGGTTTGAAATCAGAGCTTCCACTAGCGAAGTAGGCACACTACCACTTGAGCCATATCTCCAGTCCATTTTGCTCTGCTCATTTCAGAAACAGTTTGCTCAGGCTAGACTCAAAACAATCCTCCCGATCTCAGCCTCCCAAGTAGCTAGGATTACAGGCTGAGCCACCAGTGTCCAGCAGGTTTGTGTTTGGTCACAGGATCTTGTTTTCAGTTTATACCATGAGCCCTCCCCTTCTGTAGGAATCTGGGCACAGGCCACACAGGCATGAAGGCCCAGGTAAGCCACCAGCACTCACCTGCCTCCACCCTCCTTGTGCAGTGGCATTTGCAGTACGGATTATAGTCACTTCCAGACAGGAGATTGTTCTCTTGTTGCCCAGCACTTGTAGCCAAGGAAGCTGCTGGCAGTACAGGGGCAGGTGCCAGAGTTGCAGTACTTGGGTGAGGGAGGGAAAGCTTTGGCCTTAACCCCAGTTCTCCACACTTACTACCAAAGATTAGCACATAGAAAGGTGGGGGGGGGTTTATTTTTATTTTTATTTTTTTTGCAGTGTTGGGGCTTGAACCCAGGGCCTTGCACTTGCTCTGCAGGTGCTCTACCACTTGAGCAACTCTGCCAGAAAACATCCAACCTTTTTTGTTTTTTTTTTTTTTGGCAGCACTGGGGTTTAAATTCAGGGCCTCACGCTTACTTGGCAGTTGCTTTTACCTCTTGACACTCCACCAGCACTCAAGTTTTTGGGTGGTGGCTTTACCCCATGGGGAATTGATAAAGTGGACATGGCGTAAAGAACATCAAAATGGCCCATGTCCGTCTACCCTTTAGGAAGTCGTTTGCTGAGTACCAGGTGATGCTTGGCCAGCACAAAGGGCCACAATGCAGTTGAAAATGCAGCCAACTCAAGAGTGGAGTAAGTTACAGTCTGACCTCCCAAGGACTCACTGGTATGAGTGGACTCTGGCTGTCCCTCTAATTAGCAGAAGTGTGTTGACTAGCCTTTGGCCCTTTGACCATCCTTGGTGATCTGCTGTGTGCCTCACTTGTGATCAGAATGGTACAGGGGCAGCTGGGCAAGGTGGTGCATGGCTGTAATCCCAGCACTTGGGAGGATTGCAGGTCTGAGACCAGCCTGGGCTGCATAGCGAGATCCTGTCTCAAAAAAAGAAAAAATAGAGTCTGCCTACCAAGTTGAGGCCATGAGTTCAAACCCCAATATTGCAAGGGGGAAAAAAAAAAAAAGAGGGCTGGAGGTGCCTCCAGCTTTAGAGCAGCTGCCTAGCAAGTGTGAGATCCTCAGTTTAAGCCCCAGTACTGCAAAGAAAGAAAGGAGAGAGCAAGAAAATAAAAAACAGAAAAAAGGTACTGAGATACTTGCCAGCTGCTGATCTTGTGCTGCAACCATACTGTGCCCTATGCCTCTTAGGTGTTAGAGGTGAGGGCTCCAGTAATAGCACTTGGGCTCCTGAGCAGCTGGGTTGTCAGTGCTGGGACCACAGAGAAACCAGGCTTAGTCTTGATGCTCGGTCTAGTGACCAGCAGAGAAGGCACGGTGAAGCCTGTGTTTACGTCTATGATCCATCTTCTAGCTGGGTGTTCGACATCTGACATCCCTTGTAGACACAAGCACATGCTCAAGTAGGAATGTATATTTAACACGATCCCAGAAAGGCCCAGGTCATTAAAGGAAAAAGAAAAATTCTAAAATCATACCTGTTCTCTCTAATCTGCGCTCATAAATAAATGTTTTCAATTCAGGTAATGATGTACTTTGTTTTTCCCTGACATTAGCATTTCTCATAGTACAGGCATCTTCAACCTAGCCCCATCTGATTTATGTATAGGCTATAGAATTTGGAAAGCTCTGTGATAGTATCTTTTCCTTAACTTGTTTTCCTAATGCAACCATCAGCCCGTATTTAGATGGTCCATTTTTAGTATGCTAACATTGACAGTACAATGTTTGCTAAACACAAACTGCTATAGTAACATAATTCTTTTCCTGCAACTATGATACTAGTTTTTTTTTTTTCCTTCAAAACTCAGGATTGTATGTCTGAAAGAGTTCCAGATGCTGAAAGACAAGCTGCTATTGACTGTATTAGGTTGGAGTTCTCTGAAGCCCTGAGACCCCCTGGGAATTGCTGTCAGGAAGCAGCAGCAGAGAAGGGAGGAGTCAGTGCAGGTGCAGCTTGGCTTGGAATGAACAGGTCACAGCCTTGAGAAATTGAAGTAAATCCTGCAAGGACTCAAACCTATGCAGAGCATGCTTCTGCTCATTGGGAGTGTTTATCCAGGAACTATTGCTCCTAGGGATACTGCAGGCTCAAACCTAGGATAGAGCTCTTAAGAGTTGTGTCTGTGGAGTTCTGTACCCAGCTGGACAAGAAATGTGCCTACATTGCCTGCAGCTAGATTTAAAAACCCTTGCACCCACCAAGTTTGTGTAACTTTATTAATCTTTCCTAGTGGCAAAGCTGAGTGTGCTTTCAACAGAATTTCATATCAGAATTTTTGTCTCATTTTTCATACTTCTTAAAGGTAAGTGGAGGGTTCAGGTCTAGAAAAGTTGGATTCTGAGTGTAAAGTTTGGTTTTGTACAGCAGAGTAAAGTTTTCAATTTCCAACTTTAGTTCCTTCCAGCTACCTTGATTTTGAGTAGCATTTCTATTTCAGACCTCCAACTGCATGTCCCAGGCAGCTCCTCAGTTAGGAGCAACTGGAGCTTAAATGCAGGTGCTTGTTGGGGCAGATGGAATTGCATGAGCCTGCAGGTCTGTCCAGAAAGAGAAGTTGGGGTTGGGGATGGGCATGTCTTTGAGATCAGAGACAGCAAGGTCCCTGGTTGGAGCATTGAAAGGAGTTAAGAAAGACAGGATAGGTGATTGCTGTGTTCAAAGAATCCTGTACTGAATGAATATAAGCATTTTTTCAGGTTTTCTCTGGAGTTACCTGTTGCAGTTATGTCTCCAGAATGGAGTCAATGTAGGTTTAAACCCAGTTTCATTGGATAAAGTGGTTGGTGAAGGGAGGACAATAAGCTTTTTTCCAAGGTTTTTGTGAAGATTCAGGAGAAATGTAATATTCATTCACTCTCTTCCCTTCTTTTTCTGCTGAGTTGAAAGCCCTTGACCACCCTGGCTTCTACCATATCTCCTAGAAGAGCCCTGTAAAGTCTACCAATTGGCATCATTAACTTACCACTCTTGAGTTTGCAGCCTTAACACAGTTCACTCTCCCTGCAACTCCTCCCATTTCACAGACTGGAAAAACTCAAACAATACCCAAAATCTCAAAACAAAAAAAGGTAGAACCTGACACTCCTGCTGACTTGTAGGCCATTGATCCTCCAGTTAACCCATCTGTTTGTGGAAAATGGTCAACTAGAGACTTTAAAGGTTTCCTTCACAGATGGATGCCACTGATGGTTGACAGAAGTGCTTTCATTTACATCCTTATTTGGCCAGAGTGGCTTAAGCGGTAAGAGCACCTGCCCAGCAAGCCAGAGGCCCTGAGTTCAAACCCCATTGCTGCCAAAAAACACCAAAGAGGGCTTATATTATCCTTGTTTCATAATTGAGCACACATCCACATGTGTGCTCTGTTTAAAATACTTCTTTAGGTTTTTTATTTTGGGGTGAATTTAGAGAGAATTTTTTTTTTCTTATGGCACTGGGGCTTGAACTCAGGGCCTCACCCTTGCTAGGCAGGGGTTCTTACCACTTGAGCCACTCACTCCACCAGCACTAAATGTGTGCTCTAAATGGTAGAACTATGGTTTGAACTTCCCAAGTAGGCTCAGTGCATTTGTCTGAACATCCTGTCTTTCTGATCATAAACTTACTCAGTGAATAACAACTCGATTTTTCTAACACACAAGGATCTCTTAATATAAGGCAGAGAATTACCATCAACCTTTTTATTCAGTGCAGGCACAGGCCTCCACTGTTTTTTTGTTTGGTTTGTTTTTTTGTGAGATTGATTTGAACTAAGGGCTTTGCACTTGCAAAGCAGGCATTCTACCACGGGAGCCATGCCTCAAGTCTGTTTTGCCCTGGTTATTTTGGAAATGGGGGTCTTGTGAACTTACTTGTCTGGGCTAGCTCCCTTATCTCAGCCTCCCGAGTAGCTAACAAGAGCAGGCGCAGCTCAAGTTTCTCAGTGCAATGTTTGTTTTTGTTTTTGTTTTTTTTCCCCTGTTGCTGGGGATTGAAACTAGGGCCTTATCCCTGCTAGGCACTTTCCCACTGACCTCCACGCCCAACCCCATGTAATTTTTAAAATGTGGGTTTTTGTCAGGACAAAGCCTGGTGATGGGGGATGATGAGGCAAAGAGCGCTGTATTGCTGGTGACTGCGGACTTGTCCCCAACTGATGAACAGGGCCACAGGACATGGGAGTGTGCCTGACTGCTTCATGTTTTTTGTTGCAGGTAAGCATGTGATATTTGCAACTGCTTACGCCTATCCTCAGAGAAGGCAGAGAAGTCTCCTAAATCTGGGGCAAAGGCCAGTGGTGGCTCATTTAGTGACCGCGGATTAAATATGAGTGTGAAATACCAAATGCCCAGCTTGCAGGAAACACCCTATTAGCCGGGCTCCAGCGGCTCACGCCTGTAATCCTAGCTACTCAGGAGGCAGAAATCAGGAGGATCGCGGCTCCAAGCCAGCCCCCTTCGCGAGACCCTATATGGAAAAAAAAAAATCGCACATCAAAAAAGGGGGCTGGCGGTGTAGGCCCTGTGTTCAGAGCCCAGTATATAAAAAAACAAAAACAAAAACAAAAAACCTAGCTTTAGCTAAAGAAAGCCTAAGTGTTCCAGATGAGTGGGAGATGAACGCGGGACCCCTAAGGCTTGAGGGGGCTAACTCCAAAGTTTTTAGAACTTTCCTGTTCCCGCGCCTCTAACGCACCGCGTCTCAACAGCAAAATCTCCAGAAAGCTACTCCGCCAGTCGTCCTTTCGCCTGGGACGGCTGCACTGCCATCGACTCAGGAGGTCCCGCGACTGCGACTGCGAGAACAGAGTAAGACCGGCCGAGACGCTGCCGCGTCTGACAGCGGTAGGACGACCCGGAAGGTGCGGCTGCAGCGTCACTTCCTCCCTCCCTTACGCTGATTGGACAGGGCGTTGCAGCGCTTCTGATTGGCCAGGCCCCCTGCCATCCCAAAGTGCTTTGCGGCCCCACTTCCTTTCCGCTCGGCGGTTCTCCTGTGTAGGAGGTGAGTGTCCCTTTTTGCCGCCATTGGGCTTCATCCGCCTCTATCCACTGCCATCGGCTCGGTGCTGCCACTCTTGCGGCCATGGTGGAGGCTCCACGGCTCCACAGACGGCATTGGGCCAGGGCCCAGGCGGGAGGGCTCGGGGTGGTGACCCGGGGTGCCGGCCTACACTCGCCGCCTTCTTCACGGCCGTAGGCAGCCATGGCGCCCAGCCGGAATGGCATGATTCTGAAGCCACACTTCCACAAGGACTGGCAGCGACGAGTGGCCACTTGGTTCAACCAGCCAGCCCGGAAGATCCGCAGGTACACGACGGGCGGGCTGGACACGCAGACCCGGCGTCCGAGGCCGTGCGGGGTCCGCTGGGGCGCTGCCGGGAGAGGGAGCGGCCACCCCCGAGGGGCGGGCGCTGCGGGGTGGTGACTGTCGCTTGCCTTCCCTGCCAGACGCAAGGCCCGGCAAGCAAAAGCGCGCCGCATCGCCCCCCGCCCCGCGTCTGGACCCATCCGGCCCATAGTGAGGTGCCCCACGGTGCGGTACCACACCAAAGTCCGAGCTGGCCGGGGCTTCAGTTTGGAGGAGCTACGGGTGAGTGGCTGGGCCGCGTTTCACAGGTGGCTTCGGGCCTTAGCTGTTAGTCTCGGTGACATGATGACATTCTCCGGAATCGCTGCACTGCGTTGATGAAAGCGCACTTGAACCCTTTTCCATCTGACACTGAGCATTTCGCTGGGGCCTACGGAGAGGGGATCCGCGGGGCCTAATAACGCCTCTCCTGGGCAGGTGGCCGGCATTCACAAGAAGGTGGCCCGGACCATTGGCATCTCCGTGGACCCCAGGAGGCGGAACAAATCCACAGAGTCCCTGCAGGCGAACGTGCAGCGGCTGAAGGAGTACCGCTCTAAGCTCATTCTCTTCCCCAGGAAGCCCTCGGCCCCCAAGAAGGGAGATAGCTCTGTGAGTGCCGCTGCCCGGGCGGGAAGTGTGTGGGAGGTGTCTGAGGCTTGGTTTAGGTGTAAATGGCCTTGTTCAATTGGGACAAAACATATGCCTGCGGCCTTTTATTCTCCAAAATGCTGTCACGTCGGAGGAATAGAATTGACGTGTAATGAAAAGACAAGCCCTAAGTATTCGTAGGCTAACACTAGCACTGCCAAGGTACCCCGTTATGCTCCTCCACCACCATCTCTTTCTACTTGGGGTAGTGGTGGAAGCTGCCTGATTTGGAGCCAGCGTTTTGCCATTGATACCATTTGCCTCTTAAGATGCTTTGTGTCAACAAACTTTGGAGGGGTTCTAGGAGAACCTTGCAAGACAAGGTTGGCAGTGTCCATCAGTGGGCTTCCTGGGAGTGGGATTAAGGGGTAGGTTTGCAGGACAGACTGAACTTTCACCTGTGCCTCCAACTTAGTCAGTTGAACAGAGAAGTCGGCACACACAATCTCTAGATGAGCACCACTGCACATACAGGCAGCGGTTTCTCCCAGAACAGGAGACCTGGTAACGCAGTGGGCTCTTTGTGGGCAACAAGCAGGAGATTCCTAGGAACGTGAACCTGTACTCACTTGACTCTTACTCACACATAGGCTGAAGAACTCAAGTTGGCCACCCAGCTGACAGGACCAGTAATGCCCATCCGGAATGTAAGTGGACAGTTGATTTGCTCATTCTCGGGTCCTGGTAGTAATGACTAGATTGGCAGATGAATGAGTGGTGTGTGTTAAGATAGGCATCAGGATGAAGGGTGCAGATGGGGTGGCTATGAGATTTGTAGGTTGGCAAAGGAAGGTTCCTTTAGCTTGGGAGCAGCATCCCTGAATTCCTATCAGATGGGTTCCTTGATGGCTTTGCCCTTTTAAGAAGTTTTGATGAGCCTCACTTATCACTCCTACTCTGTTGGATCCCGTCATTATTGTTGAAGCCAGGCCACCTGCAGCCCTCTGGGGATGAGGATGCTGGTGATCTGTGACTGCCCAGAAAGTAGCCAGGAGAGGTGATGTTGACTGGGTGCTTCTGATCCTCAGCATTGCCTGCCTTCTCAAAGTGCCCCCTTCACACTTTTGCCTCTGTTTTTTTCTTTCCTTTTTTTCTTTTTTTTTTTTTTTTTTGCTAGGACTTAGGGCTTTGTGCTTGCTAGGCAGGTGTTGTAGAGACTTCTCTTAAATCCCAGGGAGCATGGTGCAGTGGGCTGGGCCTTGCTTGCTCACTGCAGGTGTGACTTGACCATTTTCCTCTCTCATAGGTATACAAAAAGGAGAAAGCCAGGGCCATCACAGAGGAGGAGAAGAACTTCAAAGCCTTTGCTAGCCTTCGAATGGCCCGTGCCAATGCCCGACTCTTCGGCATCCGTGCAAAAAGAGCCAAGGAAGCTGCAGAACAGGACGTTGAGAAGAAAAAATAAGGCATTGTTGAAGCTTAGTAATAAACCCTCAGGAAAACTAAGGCTTAGTCTCCGTGTGCTGTGTTTTGTGTGAGCAATAATAATCTATGTGTTGACAGCCTGGGTATCCTATTATCTATTTCAGCACTGTTTAATAATTGCTGATTGAATGACAGCTTTCTTGAGAGGTTTTGAAGCCTACCTTGGGCGGGGAAGGGCACTAGAGGTACAAACAGCTATATTTAAGTTCTTTCATAGGTGATTTTTGGTGCCTTTTTTGGGAATCAAACTTGCTAGGCACTGAGCTGCAGAGCAGCCCTAAGGTTGTGTTTTCAACCAGAACAGTTTCCAGTTCAGGCACCCATGGTGCCATCTCATGTAGTAAGGTCTTTGCCTGACCAGGCAGCATTTGCCCTGTATGTCTTGTCACCTGTAGAAGGCTGGCCTCTGGCCATCTCTTATCTAGAGCTATTGCTCCTGCACTGGGGCCAGGTGGCAGCCAGGATGGTGGCATTCACTTTGTTCCAGATGTGCCTTGCTCTGCCTGTATTTTGCAGTGTGGTGTCTGGCGTTCTCTTACCCATAAGAGGCCCTTATCTGCTGTGGCCTCTGAAAACTGAGTCTTGTCTGACACTCTAACTTTGCTAGGTGTAGATCTTTGAGTTAATGCCTGTTACCAACATAAGAAGATTCCCTTTCATCTTTGCTGTGTTAGTGAAACTTAGCACCTGGTCTGCAGTGCCCCTTGGCCAGGAAGTAGATTCAGAGGATCTTTGCCTGACATTTTCACATCTGAAAATGTCCTGATGTTTATACTCACCTTATGTCCTGGAGATGACCAGGCTGTACAACTTGAGCTTATTGCTTGCATACCTGAAGCCAGAGGACATGAGGGCTGCTCTGTCCAGGGAAGTTCTGCTATGCTGTGCTTGGGATCCTGAGCTGCATGCTCCCTCAAAGGGTGGGATGGCCCAGCAGCAGGAGGTTCAGTTCTTCATTCAGGGAGCACAGGTGCCTCTAGGGCTGGCCTAGTGGCTCCAGTGGTAGAGCACCTACCTAGCAAGCTTGAGGCCTGAGTTCAAAGTCCAGTACCACTTGGCCTGTTAACCCAGTGTTATAACCCAGTGCTCATAGTGGTGGAACTGACTTCTGCCACCTCCCCCACCAGGTCAGCCAGAAGCCCACAGGGACTGGCTTCTGGGAAAGCAAGGCCTGGCAGTGGGCCTGTGAACCTGGATGATGGGGAGCCACAGTCACCCTACAGAGCAGATGTGTTTTCCTTGTTTCACAGCTAGGAAAGTGCCTGGGGCTTGTAAGTTCTCCCAAAGATGTGCTCAATTCACTAAAATCCCTGGCAGGAGAGAGTGGTGAGCTAATGAACTCTGAGGAAGCTACAAGCCATCTTAGGTCAATCAGGACCGCCCTAGATGTTAAACCCAGTCTGGCTCAGGTGTAGCAGGAATGCTCAACCTGTCACCTTCAAGGTGGGACTCCACCTTTGGTGTAAGCTCCCCATGCTGGGGATTCTAGGGTGACTGGCCTTGTGCAAACCATTGAGATCACTCCTGACCATGAAGTGCAGCCACTGAGCACGTGCTTGGACAGGAAGCAAAAAGTGCATTCTGCTGTTCCTGAAGGGGCTGCTGTCATGGTTCTCATCCCATGAGGCAGAGAACTGCTGACTGGTGGAATCTTGAGTACATCCCCTGCCCTGAGCCCTCACTCTCAGGTACTGAGGGAGTCTGCAAGGACCCTGAGTCTCTGGAGAGGGCAATGCCTAGATTCCATCTTCACCAACCCTTGGGAGCCCCATGCTGTGCCAGCTCCCAGTCACTGGGAAACAAAGCAAGTTGGTCATTTGGTTCCAAGCACGGGAACACATACAGTTATTAACTTGTGCTGCTGGGAAGGAGACTGTCATAGACCCTGCGCTCTGGGCAGCCTTGCAGGAGCTTGGTTTTGTACCTTGCATCTCCCACAGGGACCCAGAGCCAGTGGTGGCTGTTGCCAACATGCCCTGGGTGGCCACCAAGGGGTGTGAGGCACCAGCTTTTGCAGATGTGGAGGACAGCCCCAGTTTTAGCTTGCATCTCTGATCATGGGCGGGGGTTGAGCACCTTGTTTTAAGACTTAGGCTCTTTGCCCATTTTCAGATGATCAGCTCTGGCCTAACAGGAGCTGTAAATATTTTTTCTCAGTTTATTATTTTTCTAACTATTGATAGACATTATGAATTTTAATTTCCCAGGCTTTTTTCCTTTTAGATTATTTTGAAATTATATATGCTGTAGTTTTGAACTTGGAGGGGAAGTGTGCAGCTCTGTGACTGTTGCCTATCCAAGCAGAACTTTAGTTTGAATCTGGTTACCCTGTAGTTGCTTTGTTGAACATATATATAACTGCAGTCACTTAAAAAGGAAGAATTAGCGAGGCATGTGGCAGGTGCCTATAATCCCAGCCCTCATGCTACTACTTGTGTCATACCCCAGCCCTTTTTACTTTAGTTATTTTTCAGACAAGGTCTCACTTTTTGCCCACAGCCAGCCTTGGGCCACTACCCTCCTAACCTATCCCTCCTGCCTAGCTGGGATTTCGGTTGCAAACCACCATGCCCAGTTTATTTGTTGAGATAGGGTTGCGCTTTTTTTTGGCGGGGGGATTGGACTGGGGTTTGAAGTCAAGGGCTTCACACTTGCAGAGCAGGTGCTCTATTCTTTGAGCCGAACCTCCAGTCCATTTTGCTCTGGTTATTTTGGAGATGGGGTCTCTCACTTGCTTAGGCTGCCCTGTAACTGAAATCCTCCCAAGTAGCTAGATTACAGGTGTGAGCCATCAGGCTCTCACTAACTTTTTGATATCCATCTCCTGAATAGCTGGGATTACAGGTGTGAGTCACTGAGCTGGTTCTGTGATGGAGCTTTGCCTAGCATTTGTAAGGCACTGGGTTTGATCCTCAGCACCATGAAATAAATAAATAAAGGCTATAGGAGAACCATAGGCCATGATAGTCCATTATATGGAAGAAAGAAGCGTGGGATGGAAGAGCAGCCCCACAGCTTCCGCTCTCCCCAGAAATGGTGCTCATAACCACACCCCAGCACAAATGGCTGGCCTTGTTATTTATTTATTTATTTTTGTGGTACCGGAACTTGAACTCAGGACTTACACCTTGAGCCACTCCACCAGCCCTTTTTTGTGAAGGGTTTTTTCAAGATAGGGTCTCGTGAACTATTTGCCCAGGCTGGCTTTGAACCACGATCTTCCTGATCTCTGCTTTCTGAGTAGCTAGGATTACAGGCGTGAGCCATTGGCACCTGTCATGTTTTTATAAAAACAGATAGGGCCACACTGAGCCCCCGCGTGCCCTGCACTTCCAGTTCACCTGGGTGAGCCTCAACCCGCCCTGAAGGGACAGATGGCACTTTATTTGCACAGTCTTCTGCAGGAAGGAAACCTGGAAGTACTGCTGCTTTAATTTGCATTTGTCTGACCCTGAAGCCAGGCCTTGCCACAGCGTCTTCACCATCCACCTGTTGCACTGTATTGCCACGTTCATCCTTTTCTTGAATTTTAGCAGCTCCTTGTACGTTAAGGCAACTTTACCTTGTATCATATATTGATTCCCCACCACTCCCTCTTTGCTATTTTCCTCCCCCACCCCGCTTTTTGGGACAGGATCTCATCATGAAGTCCAGGTAGGGCTAGAACTTGAGATCCTCCTGCCTCAGCTTCCTGAGAGCTGGGATTACAGACATGAATAACCATGATCGGTTTTCTGATTTTCATGTGAGTCTTCTTATATTCCAGGAGTTGCATGGGAAAGGGGCAGAGTGTTTCTTTTGGGAGTCAGGATAGACTGACTGACTCCCAGACTGACGGACTGGGTTCTGAGTGCATGCCGGTCATGTCTGGCTTTCCAGCCTCAGAACCCTCTGTTGGGGAATTTTCTTTAGAACCTTGGTGAGCGGTAGAGCCTTTCCCTCTGAAGAAGCCACGGGCCACTTCCAACTCTCCCAGACTCCCTGGGACAAGGCATGGCCATGCGACCCCAGTCTCCACCAGTCCCACACTGTGAAGCACAGTGGGCAGCAAGGGCCATCCTCTGTCCTGGGTGGGAACTGTGTCCAGGGCCCATCCTCACCATAGCCTCCCAGTACAGGAAGTCCCCAGTGTCCTCATCTTGTGCTCAGTCAGCCATAATCATTTTTGGTTGCTTAGAACAAGACCTGATGACACCTGAGGCACTGACCCAGCACTGGCTCAGCCATCTGTTAGGACAAGTGACTCTCACACCAGCACAGCAGAAACTGATTCACAGGAAGTCAGGTAGACATGGAGGGGCAACATGACAACAGGTAGAGGAAGAGAGAGCAGGCATTTGGAGTCTGCTGTGTGCCAGGCAGAGTTCAGGCCAGCTCTGAACTCTAAAGGACAAAAAGCTGTGCATCTCTCTTGACTTCGTGGAGTTTCCACCCTAGACACAGGTGCATGTCTGCCTCACAGGTTGCTGAGGGTAGTTAATGAAAATAAGAAGCCTGGCCGGGTGCCAGTGGAAGGCAGAGATCAGGAGGATTGTGGTTCGAAGCCAGCCCAGGCAAATAGTTCGAAAGAACCTATCTCGAAAAAACCCATCACAGAAAAGGGCTGGTGGAGTGGCTCCATGTGTAGGCCCTGAGTTCAAATCCCAGCACTGCAAAACAACAACAACAACAAAAAGAAGCCTGCTCAGGGCCTGAGCAGCTCCTCCCTCTCCTGCAGATGGTCTCATGCACCCTGGGAGATCTTGGTGAGCTAGGGCCTCGGATTCTCCTGGGGCTGTCACTGCACAGCCTTCTCCAAACCCCCTTCCTGGGAAAGGCTCAGAGCCTGGCCACCACACAGTCTAGGGGACCCACCTGCAGAACCTGTAGTTTGGGGGTCTGGGGAACAATCGTGCCTGCAGTCTAGAGATCACTCAGTGCTCAGTTCTTTGGGAGAAGGTACCAATCTGCCCCTTGCAGCTGGGGCCTCTGCCAACCCCCTTCTCCTTTTTAGCCTTCAGTTTCCACATCTGCAGAACAGACATACTGCCAGCAACATAGCTGGGGAAACAGAATGTAGCCAAGCCTGATAGGTCCTTGCCTTCTGGAGAGTTCCCCAGAACAAGGTGCTTCCCAGGGAGGGGGAGGCAAAACTAGGTTACTGAAGAAAGGCACCAAAGAGTGGAGGGAAATGTCCGAGCCTCGTCCCAGCCACTCTTGCCAAGAATATCATCAAAGCCCCAGATGAGTCAAGCGAGAATAAACCGTGACGTCCATCAGTCAGGACCCACCTGGGCACGCTGTCCCTACATGGTCCTGCCTGCCACCTTGGTCCATGCTGCCATTGCCACCAGAGGATCCGGATCTCCCTACTTCTTCCCCAGCCTGGGGCTGGCAGCCACTGGTCTGAACCCCAGTGGTCCAACCTGCCAATACTCCTACCCTTGTGAGAACCCCTCTTCCACAGGAGGCCAGACAAGCAGCTTCCCGTGGAAGACTGCAAAGGCAATGGCAGGCTGTTGTCCAGGGCTCTATCTCTCCCTCCTCCTCTTCCATCCTCCCTCTCCCTCCACCTTCCTCTTCCTGCTGTCCTCGCTCCCTTTCTCTCTCCCTCTCCTCCCCCCTCTCTCTTGTGTCACCTGGGGAAGCCCACTGGGTCTTGGGAGCAGCCCTGAGGCCCTTGACCAGGGGAGAATCCTGGAAGCAGATCTTCTCCCACCACATCTGGAGGGACCCACGCGCGAGCCCACAGGCTCCTGACACACAGTTCCTGCGCGATGGTAAATGTCTGTGGCGTCAGCGGCTGTGTTGCGGGGAATTTGTTACACAGCAGCGGCTAATACGCCACAGTTGCTTCCCCACAGCACAAAGCCTGTGATTCTTCAAAGTGAGCGCGACCTTTTCCTCCATACGGCCTTGTCTTCTACTCCTACTCAGCCTCCTGCAGACTGAGGAAGCAGCCCTGCCGGGTCAGGCTCGTAGCCCATTGCTGGCCACTACACAGTCCCCACATGTCATGAATGTGCTGTGAGGCCTCAGCTGGTCTGGGGTGGGGGGACCCTTGAGGCCTCTGCACGGAAAAGCTGGGGTGGGGGGATGGTATTGTGCAAAGACAGAACCAGTGTACAGGAGCCAGGTGCTCAGATGTAGAAGCCAATGTCTCTCAGCTGCCACCAGAGGGCACAGGTGGGCTGACCTTAGGTGTCTGCTGCTCTGTTGCCCTGGCCCTCGCCCAACTTGCACCCTGCTGGCCGGGTGTGCTTGGACATCCTAGGCCCAGTGGTTTCTGAAGGTGGGCTCAGCCTGGACTCCAGCCATCCACCTGAATGTTAGAAACTTAAGGATGATCACCCCTCTGTGTCAGTCAGGACACAGAGTCAACTGTAATGAAATCCTGACAGCACAGAGTGAAGACAGGGTTACCTGCTGCAGTTCTGGAGGCTCAAATCCAAGACTGCAACTCCATTGGTTTGGGAATATGGCAGAGGGGTTGCCTGACTGTGTGAGCCTGTGTCAGGGCCAGTGCTCACACCTCAAGTCTGGAAGCACAGAGAGTGGATAGTGGGGTTCCACAGGCCCACCTCCTAAAGCTCCACCACCTCCCAACAGTGCCCAGGCAACACCCAATATCCAAACCATAGGGACAGGGGACATGGCCCGGGAGGGGGCAGTGAGGTCCAGAGGGGTAGTGGGGGCAATGGGGAACCACACACGTTTGCAGGTGGGGTCTTCCAGGGGCAAAAGGCCCAGGAGGTGGCTGTGGGCCTGGACCACTGCTGGCACATGGGATGCCTAACTCTCAGCAGTCTGAAGAGGAAGGTCAGCAGGCCCCTGGGGCAGGAAGGGAGAAAAGTCCAGGGTTGAGTGTGGGAGGTGCTGCTGACATGCGCTTTGCCCCTCAGAGAAGAAGGTCATGGCAGCATGAGAGGATGGGCTAGGAGAAGGGGTCGTCAGCTAGATGAGATGTTGCCCCAGGGGGCCAATGTCTGAGTGAGACTCAGCGTGCCCCGGTGTGTCTGTGTGTGGGTCTGAATCTCCGGTGCGCCCGAGCCTGTGTTGGACACTGCTCCAGTTTGGGCAAGTATACCGGAGGAGGGAGGCTCTGTCGCCAGTCCCCGGGGCTCTGAGAGGGGATCCCAGACCTGCCCAGGTCCTACAGGGTGTGTTGTCACAGCCTCCAGCCTGGAATTTTAAAGAAAGATGGACGTCAGATCCTGAGGAAAACAACACTGCAGACAAGTTCAGATGTTCTATAAACGGAGACGGCAGGTTGGCCAACAGGTTACAAAAAGGAGCACCCAGCCAGATGTGTAGTCTTGTTCCCTTTTCAAAGCCCCATTACTACCCACCACTGCAGTTCCTACAGATTCAAGGGGCCTGGGAGATGACCTCCCGCAGGCGGGGTGGGGGTGGTATCTCTGGGCAGAAAAGGAGACGGATGAGGTTCTTGGCAGCTTCCCACTTCAGTCGGCTTGCAGGGGCCATGTTGTGGGGACACAGGCATCACATAGCTCTGCTCAAGGCCACATGCTAGGGATAGGACTGGGTTCAGACCCGCAGGTTGGTCAGGCTATGGTAATGGGTCAGATAAAACCTACATATCCTGCAGTGAGAGACACAGACGCCATGGTGTGGGCCTGAAGGAGGAGGGCCAGGTAGGAGACTCGGGTCTGGGGAAGGGCGTGGTACAGGCAAATGCTCTTGGCACAGCTGCTCCAGTCCGAGGGCCTGGCCTTCTGGGTGGTTGCTGAGCAACCCACAACCGTGCAGTTGGGCACAGACTGCACCAACTGTGTAGTCAGGAGGACAGGCGGACGGAAGTCACAGGCTATGGACACTGGCTCCAGGCTGGGAAGGAGTGCTGGGTTCCCGGAATGTGGGCGGTGAGCACAGGATCCAAGATAGCTCCTGAGACAATGGGGTACAGGTCTGGGATGGGGGTCTGAGACTTTCTGAGACCCTATGAGGTCCAGCCTGTGGCTGGTGTGAGGGAACTAGAGGACGGGCCACCCTTATAGGATGGCAATGACATCACAGGCAAATGGGGCCAGGAAGTAGCCTTTGAGGTTGGCTCAGCAACCTTTCCTGACTCACACCTTCACTCATTTGTCTAGTGTTTGTTGGCTCAGACCCTGGCAGGGAACCATCTGAGAGCTATTTCAGGCCCCGGTGAACTCCTGGTCTGGCTGTGGACGTTGCCATGGGCACATAGCTCCAGACAGTAGGACCGGTGCTGTGGATCTGTGGACCCAGAGCCCAGAGAGGATCCTTGGGTGGTGGGGCAGACTGACCTGGGCTGTGAGGAATAAGTAGGAGTTGGCCAGGGGGAGGAGTCTGTGCTTGTAGAGAGCCTGGAAAGTAAGTTCCCCAGTCCTGGATGATAACCAGGAAGCATCTAAATAGTCGGTCATACATTAGGACAGATGATTCAATCAGCTGGTCTCTCAGGAAAACCCTTCAGAGCTATTGTCAGGAAAAAAAAAAAAAAGACAAAACAAAACAACAAAACACGGGCGGCAGAACAGACATAGTAAGTCCAGTGACCTTGGTTCGTGTTTCGTGGGTACCGGGCTGGGGTGGGGCTCAACGCTTATCTAGCATGGGAAAGGCCCGGGGTTCCTTCCCCGGAACCACAAACAAAAACCATCTATTGAATTCAGGTAGGTGGTTCGAGCCTCGGAAGGCAGAGATCAGGACAATCACAGTTTAAAGCCAGCCCCAGCAAATAGTGACCCAATACAAAAAGTGGCTGGTGGAGTGGCTCGTGTGGTGGAGGAGCACCTGCCTAGCAAGTGTGAAGCCCTAAGTTCAAACCCCAGTACTGCCAAAAACCAAAAAACCCAAGAATGAGAACACTTGCCTGTAATGAATCTGCAAATCTGGGTGCTGAGATTTTTATTTTCACTTGCTTATCTGCATTTTCTAATCTTTCAGCACTAATGTGTTATTTTATATTTCCTGCATGACAATAACAAAATACATATGAAGAGGGAAGCCTCATTTCCTGTGTCTGGCCCAGGAGCTGGGAGTGGAGCCGCCTGGAGTTCAGGGCTGGCCAGCTCCATCCAGCCCTCCCTGGCCCTCAGCTACTGGCCTGGCAGCAAGGAGGGGCAGGTGGAACCAGGAAGATGGCACTGACCGAGCAGGGCTGCATGACATGCTGGTCTTCTGTGGTTTCCTTCCATTAGTGCTGCAGCCAGTCCCAGGGGTCGATGATAAGCTCTGGGCTCAGAGCTCAAACACAGAGCTCCTTCACTTTTCCTTCCTTTCTTTCTCCTGCTGGGGAAAAGTCATCTGTCCTTTGTCACTTGGCTGTGCCTTGTGGCTGTTAAGAGTGGAGTGGAGTCCATGGTTAAGTCCTATGTCTCTCAGAAGAGACAGGTGACCTTGGGTCAGCTGCTGGGTTTGTTGACAGCACCTTCCCTCACCCGTACGATGTGTCTGCTGTGGGATTCACAGCTTAGCACCATCCAGCGTTCACAAAGCAAGTATGGGCCAGAGGCAGAGTGGCCTTGGTGCTGAGAGAGCTTTCAGGTGGTCAAGGCAGGGAGTCTGTCTGGTCCAATGTAAAGTGCCCAAGGGGCTGGTGGCCTTGGAGCCTGCTGGGGACACTAGGGGCCTAATGAGAGTTGAGGGTCCTGCACTCCCAGGCCACTCCCAGCCTGGCCTCTTGCCCAGATTCTTCTCTGCCCTCCCCCTCCCCCCCTTGGAAGTGCGAAAGGCTAAGATGATTCTGGGAGGGCCTGGGTCTCTGAGAACTGACAGCCACGACCACACTTCACAAGCAGCTGGGGATGGCTCCCTCCAGCCCTGGGAAGCTGGACTGGAAGCTGGACTGCAGGGCTTGGAGACTCAGAGTGGCCAGGGATGGTTTCCACAGAGAGAATCATTCTGACCTGGACCAGCTTCAGAAAGGGGTGACACAGAGCAGCATTGGGAGGTCAACAGGTGGGCCTCACAGCCCTCCCTGCATCCTGACCCAGCGAGGAGAGGTCATGGAGTCCCCACACTCAGCTTGCAGCAAGGCTTTTCTTCAAAAACATGGTGGATACTGGGTGCCAGTAGCTCATGCCTATAATCCTAGCTACTTAGGAGGCTGAGATCGGGAGGATCAAGATTTAAGGCCAACCCTGGTAAATAGGTTGTTTTTTGTTGTTGTTGTTCTGTTTTTGTTTTTTCAGTACTGGGGTTTGAACTTTTAACTCAGGGCCTACACCTTGAGCCCTTTTCTGTGATGGGTTTCTGTGGGAGTCTTGTGAATTATTTCCCCAGGGTGGCTTTGAACCTTGATCTTCCTAATCTCTTCCTCCTGAGTAGCTAGGATTACAGGTGTGAGCCGCCTCTGGTGCCTGACCATGGCAAATAGTTCTTGAGAACCCATCTCCAAAATAACCAGAGCAGTGGGTTGGAACCCAGCTGCTCAACACAAAAAGGGCCGGTGGAGTGGCTCAAGCCATAGAGCACCTGCTTTGTGAGTGCACTGCTTTGCAAGTGGGAAGCCCTTACTTCAAACCTCACTTCCACAAAAAAACAAAACAAAACCATGGGAGCACTGGGGGAGCCATCCCGCAGCCCACACCAGGGACGCTGAGGCTGCCAGGTGATTCCTTCCAGCAGTCCTGAGCATTCCCACCCTGGTGTCAGCGGTCCCTCTGAACCCACCGTCTTCTTCTTCGGAGTCCTGGATGCTGAGGCTCATCTCTGAGCTCTCCTGGTCTTCCCCTCCCCTTCCCCTTAGCCCCACCCACTCTTTCACGGTTTCCCAACCCTTACCCCTATGGCTTTGGGCCAGGTCTTTGCCCTATTTTTAGGCAGAACTTGGCAAAAAGAATGGGCTGGGAGGTGATCTCTGCCTTGGCCAACACCTCTTCCTAGCTGCTGCTTCTGCCACTACCGACTTTGGTGCGGGGGGAGGTGGAGGGAAGCAGGGAGAGTAGGGGTAAAACTTAGGGCCGGGTGAGCCCAGGCCTGCTTCCCCGGGCCTGGAGGACAGATATGGACAGAGCCCCTGGTGGTTCCCAAGAATGGGACTCTGACCCTCAGCCAGGCACCCCGAGGCTGGCCAGGAGCTCTCCCCACCCCTAGACTACAAGTTCTGTGGTGAGGGCCTCCTTCCTGCCTCCAGCGCGGGGTCGGACATACACTAGGCGCCCACTAAATGCCTGTTGATTCAGGTGGTGAGTCACCGGATCTGGAGTTCCCAGGAGGGGCGCAGGGATTTGATGCAAAGCTGGGGTCGCTTGCCCCCTTGCCTCTCCCAGGGGCAGCTCGGTGCCCAGGTCGTGCGGGGATAATGACCCTGCCGGCCAGGGGCTCCCGGGGGTCCGAGTCGGCTGGCTGCAAGGGGGTTGCGCTCCTCGGCCACCGCGCCCGGCCGCGGCCCGCGCTGCCCCTTCTCCCCCGACTGCTCAGTCCCCTCTACCCTCCGCCCACTCTGCCGTCCATCCGCTGCCCCTCTGCCCTGCCCTTCCACTGCCCCTCTTCCCCTCCCCCGCCGCGTCCCCGCCTCGCAGTCCCCGCGCGGTGGCGGCCGCCCGAGCCACGTGTGCCCGCTCCCGGCAGGCGTGCGGGAAGCGCGGCCACGCCTGGCCTGGCCACCATTTCCCGGGCGCCGCAGCGGCGCGGATCGCGGGGCAGCGGTCTCTGCGCCCCGCGGGTGGGACCGACGGACGGACGGACGGATGGACGGAGTGCGGCACGGCGGCACGAGCGCGGGCTCGGAGCGCGCGGCGCCGGCCCCCGGCGTGGTGCCCGCGCCCTGCGCCTCGAAGGTGGAGCTGCGGCTCAGCTGCCGGCACCTGCTGGACCGCGACCCGCTGACCAAGTCCGACCCCAGCGTGGTGCTGCTGCAGCAGGCGCACGGCGAGTGGGTGCAGGTAGGGCGACGTGTGGGGCGTGGGTCCGGCAGAGGCGGCCCGGGCTGGGACCGGTAGGGCTCCTAGGTTCAGAGACGGGGGTGCCCAGAAGCTGTGGGGAGGGGCATAGAGACAGGAGTCCAGGAAGACACCGTGGCCAGGAGTAGGGTCCCAGGTGGGGGTCTAGTGCCAGAGTGAACGGTGGGCTTGAGGTGTGGGTAAGGGACTCAGGGTCTGATTGGGGTCCCAGCCTACGGCCATACTACCCTGAACGCGCCCGATCTCTTCTGATTGGGGTCGCAGAGTCCCTGTGTCAGCCTGCATAGCCACCTGGAGCTCTAGCTTCTGTTGCCTCCTCACCCAAGAGGCAGAGGCACCTGGAGCAAGGGGCCGGGTGGGGTTCAGCTGCTAGATGGTCAAGCTGTGGACAACAGAGCTTGGCTAACCAGGGCTAGGGTGCTACCATAAGGGGACATACTCTAAGGTCAGCTGGACAGTTCCCCAGCTTGTCACCTTGCTCCTCCTCCTGGGTCTGGAGTAGTACCCCTTACCCGCATGTGGCCGGGATTGGGGACTGCAAGGGCCCCATTGGTGCACTCTGCAGACCCAGCTCTGGGCGCCTGTCTCTGCACCCTGACATGCTCTGGACCTGGGGAGGCCAGGAGAGTGGAGCCTCCTTGCAGTCCACTGCCCCTCGTCACCCCCCCAGACCCTAGTCCAGGTGGGTCTTGGTGATGGCGCCCTGTGCTCTGAGCTGCACAAAACAGTTTCTCAGACACCATCTCTCATGGCTTCATGGAAGAGTGAGAAGCAGGTGCACCTCCCTGGAGGGCAAGAGGAAGCTTGATCCTGTCAAACCCAGGCAGGAGTGCTTCCCCTGGGCAGCGGGGTCTCCCCATGCTCCAGTGCACACCGTGGCCTGTGGCAGTGTACCAGCTAGAAGGGAGTGCAGGGAAGAGGGGCCAGCATGGAGGTGGCAGGGGGACACTGTGGCTGCAGTAGGGGCCAGGGAACCTAGGGGAGGTGGCAGGGCAAGACCCAGGCAGTGGAGGGGAACACATCATGGGGTCCCACTACGGGGGTGACACATGCAGCCTGGGACCAGCTCTGCACATTTACTCTATCATCTCTGGACCACCAACGTCAGAGGCTGAGAAATCTCACAGGTCATGACCTTGAAGGTGAAGGGTCTGCTCAGAACCATGCGTTCAAGCTATCATGGGGTGTTCGGGGATTGCTTCTGGTCCAGGCTATCTGAGGCCCGTCCTGCACCCCAGGCCCTAGTAGCACTTTGCTGCTTGGCCTGACTGTTGAGAGGATGCACAGGCAGACCCTTGGTTTGGGGTGCAGGAGTCTGTGGGATCCTGGGTGCTTTTGTGGAAACCTACTGTCCAGCTGGGGCATATCTTTGAGGAGGGCAAATTGAAGGAAGGAAGATAGCTGGGTGGGAGAGGCTGGTGGACCATGAGTCCCCCCAGGTGGGGAGATCTCTACTCCCATCGCTTCTCAGGAAAGGTCTGCCCTTGGGGTTCTCCAGCCCAGGGTTGGACTTTGACTCTGTCTCTGACTCAGAGTGTCCATGGACAGGATCCTGCTGCTAGTTTCCCCATCTGAGATGTGGAAATAGAGCAGATGTGGCATGAGTTGAGAAGGTGCACAGCAGGTGCAACCTGTGACTGTGTGTGTGTGTGTGTTCTTTACTCACAGGAAGGAGGTATTGGGGGTCTGTGGGAAGGACCTCTAGGGCAGCCTGAGTCCTGCAGTGCATGTGGAAGAGAACAGAAGGGAGCAGATGAGTGGGGGGGATAGGGCAGGGGCCAGGTGGGTAAGTGGGCAGGCTGGGTGGAGGCTCCTCCAGTGGGTTGGCTCACAGCATGTGACTTGCAGGTGGACAGAACCGAGGTGGTGAAGAGCAGCTTGCACCCCGTGTTCTCCAAGGTCTTCACTATTGATTACTACTTTGAGGAGATCCAGAAGCTGCGCTTCGAGGTGTATGACACCCATGGACCCAGTGGGCTCAGCTGCCAAGATGATGACTTCCTGGGGGGCATGGAGTGCACATTGGGGCAGGTGGGCACCCCCCCCCAGGAGGGGGAAGGCTGAGAGACCCAGGAGGGCAGTGATGGCACAGGTGGCTGTCTGTGCCTGGGGATCCTGCAGGATGAGCTTCCTGGCTCTGCCCAACTTCAGGACTCCTCCTCTTAAAAAAAAAAAGTCATTACTAGTTTGTTTCAGACAGGGTCTTGCTGTGTATCCCAGGGGAGCTTTAAATTTGGGCTCCTCCTGCCCCAGCCTCATGAGTGCTGGCGTCACAGAAGTGCCCACCAGGTCTGGATTTCCGTATTAGTTTTTAATGTGTAAGTTTGCTTGTTTGTTTTTTTAATGAGGGTACCAGGATTTGAACTCAAGTCTTCACACTTCCTAGGCAGGCACTCTACCACTTGAGCTGCTCCTCTAGTCCTTAATGTGCAAATTTGAACTAGGTGAAACATTCCTGTTTCTAACAGGCGTGCTGCTTCCCGTCTCCCTCCTGCCCTCGTCAGGCAGCCCAGTCACCAGGTCCTTACCTCCAGATAGGTATCTTCACAGGGGCAAATGAACATATAATCTTTTTCTTTAAGAAAAGAAAAACTAGGATCACACACACTGTTCTGCAACTTGCTTTTTCCTCTTCTTTGACATAGGGAGCTCTGCACATCAGCATGGAAAATTGTCCCTGAGCTTAGGGTGCGGGTCAGTGGGAGAGGACTTCCACATCAGCACTGCCGAAAGAAAAGAAAAGGAGAAAAGGCTCCCTGTATCATGGCTGCAGTGTCCTGTGGGAGTGTGGGGAGAGCTGTCCCATCCCAGGCCAAGACTTGCTCTCTCGACACTGTCCTCTCCCTTGCTCCTCTGCTGTCCCTGTAACAGCATACTTAGCACTCTCACTCACCTTGCGCTGGGCTCTGCTACACACTTCCAACTTGCCATAGGACCTTCTTTTTATTGAGGGATAATTTACATAAAACAAAATGCATCGTCTGTAGGCACTGAGGTTGACAAGTCCTCGGGAATGTACACACTGACCATCCCCAGTTCCCAGGTTTCCTCTGCCCATAGGCTCCCTTGCCAGCCCGGTGCTTTGTCTGCTCCTGAGGCTCCTGTACTGATTCACACTGCTTGTTCTCCATGGGTCTGATTCTTCCTTCCAGCATCGTGTGTGTGACTCATCCCCATCCCTGCCTGGTCAGAGCTGGCTTTCGTTAGATCCTTCTGCTGTCCCCACTTCACAGACCAAGGGCTAAGATGCAGGAGGGCACAGCCTTTGAAGAAAGCAGCAGATCACAGCTCCGCCCAGGTGCCCACCCCACACATGCCCATGGGCACACCTGTGGATGTACCACAGACACCTCCACTTACACAACACCACAATCCCGGCAGGACACGCGTACATGAACACACACGGACGTACACCGGCACATGGATGGAGACATGGGTATAAATACATGTCTTCGAAGACCTCTTGCTCTGCGGTCATCTCAGTCAACTGACCAGATGCCACAGCTGACATCCCTCTTTGCCAGGATTCCCCACTGTAGTGGCAGTTGTGTGATTGAGGGCTTCTGGGTCTGAAGAGAGACAGCCCCCAGTGGATGGATCTGCTCTTGAACTCACAAAGTCACGAACTCCTTTTGGGAGGCGTGAGGGCTTCAGCAAGGCTCTTCAGGGAGGATACATAGTCTGGGAGGATCCACACAACCCCACTTCTGGGCACTGCTCCACACTGACTGTGCGTAGCCTGCACCTGTGTCAACTTTTCCACCCCAGTTAGGGGCTCATAGCCCAGTGGGGGAGCTGTCCGGGAAGCAGAATGCCCCAGAGCCATTCCACCTGCCCTCCGTTCACATCCACTACCCACACATGTCCTCTCCTGGGGACCACAGGGTGGAGTCAGGCCAGCTGCGCCTGAAAGGTCTTGGCTGGAGGAGTCAATGTGAACCCCTGGGTGTGTGCACACTCACTTCAGCCTCAGGGACCTTGAGTCTGCTGACCGTGTGGGGAGCCTCAGGAGGTGGTGGAAGTGAGAGGAGGTACCCAGGAATGTCAGGTAGCCTCATCCTGACGTCAGAAAGGCCAAGCTGAGGCAGAGGATGGGAAGGAACCACTGATGGCAGAGTTAAGACTGCAGGTGTCAGGAGTGTCACCTGCCTCCTCCATCCCTTCCCAATTTTTCTGGCTTCTAGATTGTGGCCCAGAAGAAAATGACGCGCGCACTGCTGCTGAAATTTGGCAGGAATGCTGGCAAGTCCACCATCACGGTGAGGCTGGCCGTCACATCCCACCCTCCTTGCTGTGGTTCTGGGTGCCATGGTGGGAAAAGTCACGTGAGGAGTCCAGGGCCAGCCGTAATGGCACGGGAGGGTGGGGTCATTGGTCTGGAGCCTACTGGTCCCACTGTGGCCTCTGCCCACCCAGGTGATAGCCGAGGACATCTCTGGGAACAACGGCTACGTGGAACTCTCCTTCCAGGCCAGGAAGCTGGACGACAAGGTGAGGACTGGGTGCTGTAAGCCCTCAGCAGGCTGGGCCCTGTTGGGAGAAACTGAGACCCTGTCCAGCGCCAGTCCCTGGCATGAACTACACAGCAGAACTCGGAAGATAAGTGACGTGATGAGCACATGGCGCTGGGCATCTGCTGTCACAGTCACGGTCTGGTGACTGTCATCATCATTGTCACAGACATATCATTATCACTGTCACTATTCCTGTCACTGTCGTTCCCATCACCCCCTGGGTGGCAAAGGTAGAAAGCTTTGTCTCACGTGTGACCTGTGATCCTCATGCTTTCTCTTGCAGGGTCACTCATGACCTTGTTTAGTGCTGGGGTGAGGGAGGGGAGTAGTCATCTGTCACCATCTGGAATAGAGAAACTGGATCTGAGCCTGGTTCACTGGTATTTCACATGGGTACCGTCTCCAAGGGTCTTCCCTGGAGGGTCTGACTGAGAATGAAGCCAGGCTGGGTGGGTATGGACCATAGGTCAGACACAGCAGGAGGAAGGGCACACATGGGGAGAGGGTGGGGTTGCTGTGAGCCCACTGGGGGCCAGGGAAGACTTGAGACCACGAGGTCTATGTCACCCTGAGGACCCCCCAGGGAGCACGTGTGCCCCATTTTATGTCTGAGAAAATTGAGGCTGGGAGTGTTGAAGGGACCCAGCCAGAAGTGACCGAGTCAGCCTCAACCCCAAGCGGGTCTGGGCCCCTTGCCAGCACACCCTCTGCTACCCAGGACCTCTTCAGCAAGTCAGACCCTTTCCTGGAGCTGTACCGTGTCAATGATGATGGCAGTGAGCAGCTGGTGTACAGGACAGAGGTGATCACCCCACCCCTCGGCCTGGGCAGACACAGACCCACTGACCCCAGATGCTTCAGAGCCTGACGTGTTACTCCCCCCATTCTCCTGGCCAGAGAGTCATCTGGCCCTATGTCTGTGGGGTCTTTACTCCTCAGACCCCTGACTCTCTTTCGGTGGGTAGGGCAGCAAGGTGGACTTGGTTCACTGTCCACAGCTAGAGTTCACCGTGATTATTTTTAGGACTTCTACTTCCTGTGGGGAAACAGGGTTTCAGTAACTGTGGAGAGGTGGGGACAGAGCGTTTCCTTTTGAGACAAATTAATTTGAGTAAAGAAAAGACTATTTAAGGAACCCAGGTGGCCCAGGAGTGTAGCAGAAGTTATGAGGGTGGTTCCCACGGAAATGGTGTTTGGAGGTGACTCTGGGCTCCCATGGGGTCCTGCCTGGAGCCTGAGGCAGCCTGGCCTCCTGGTCCCCTGGGATCCCCCACTCTGGGTGCTGCCTTGGGGTGAAGACAGATAAGGCCCACTGTGCCTGATTCACTGCTGCTCAGCCCAGAGCTCTGAGTCCCTCACTGTCACTGAGGGACTATGGTCCACGGACCCTAGGGATCCTTGGCTCTGGCCCCAGGTCTCCCACCTGAATCAGCCTCTCTTGCCGTACAGGTGGTGAAGAATAATCTCAGCCCCGTGTGGGAGCCCTTCAAGGTGTCACTGAACTCCCTGTGCAGCTGCGAGGAGATGCGGCCTCTGAAGGTGGGGGCTCCTGGGCTGGGGTGGGAGACAGCCACCAGGCAGCCAGTCCCTCTGGACCACACTTGGGCCTCTTGGGGGCAGTCTGGGTTTGTGGACAGTGGAGGGACTAAGGAGCGAGGTGGTGAGGGGTGGCCTGGCCCAGGGTAGAAGGGGCCCAGGCCCCAGAGAGGCAGCCGCTGAGGGGCCTGGGCTCCCCAGTGCCTGGTCTGGGATTACGACTCCCGAGGAAAGCATGACTTCATCGGGGAGTTCTCCACCACCTTCGCGGAGATGCAGAAGGCCTTCGAAGAGGACCAGGTGAGCCTCCACCGAGTCCGGGCCCTGCCCTCTCGTCCTGACCTGTCCTGATGGGTCTCGGAGAGCAGCCCTTGTTATTACGTCTCAGAGACTAGTAGTGAGTGATGAAAAGCAATGGTGACCCACCAAGGTGGCCAGAGCAGGGGTGGGTCAGGGTTGGAAAAACACCAGAGTGGGGCACACCAGTGAGCATCCGAGGGATTGCATGTGCATGTGAGTGAGCTGCGTGGAGACTAGGGCACATGTGTGGTCAGGAAGTAGGGGGATGAGGAGGAGCCCCTCCGGTGTCTGCCTAGCCCCCCACAGCTCGGGTGGTTGTGAGGATAGGGCTTCTCTAAGCCCCTTCCTGCCTCTTGGATCCTCATGCTCCCCAGTGAGATCTGCAGGCTCCAGAGGGGTCCTGCAGGGCCATGCTGTGTGCAGAATCTAACTTGGGCCCCATCTCTGGCCCATATTGTGACTCACATGGTCCCCGTCTGTGCTGCACTGTGTCCTGGCTGCTCCCCTACGGGACCGGCAAAGTCCCATGGTGACCTTTCCCCATGCCACAGGCACCATGAGCCCTGCACTCACTGTTGGGAACAGTCTTCTGGGGGCTGAGGTTACCTGCAGGGCTGGGACTTGTAGGTGTCTCCTGGCCCCTTGGACAGGGTCCTGTTCTGCCACTCTGGGTGAGGTCTCTGCCTATCCCTGTCCCCAGGCCCAGTGGGACTGTGTGAATACCAAATACAAGCAGAAGAAACGCAATTACAAGAATTCTGGGGTGGTGGTTCTGGCAGATCTTGAAGGTGAGGTGTGGTCCTGCTCCAAGAACTCTATCAGCTGGCGGGGGCAGCTTCTCTCTGTGTTGTTGGATAGACCCCAAGGGTCCCATCCCTGAGGTCTGGTGGGTCTAGTTGTGGAGCTGAGACAGACCAGGCAAGGTCACGGGGAGAAAGAGATGGGGAAAGAGCAAGAGAGCATGGAAGGAAGGGAGGGAGGAGGACTGGGGGAGACTTCCTGAGGGGGGTGGGGCTCACAGACCCTCACAGGCCCCTGTACGGGGCCTATTCCCTGGCGGGTGGGGTCCCAGGTGGACCCTGCTGACGCCATTGCCTGGAAGCTCCACAGGGTCCACTCCTTCCTGGACTATATCATGGGTGGCTGCCAGATCCACTGCACTGTGAGTCCACGGGTCCCACCCCCATGCTGCCCCTGTCGCCAGCCCAACCACACCCTCCACAGCACCCTGGTCAGAACTGGAGCCCCGAGAGCAGGTGTACAGAGGCTGGACACGGGATGCTCCAGCAGGGCGGCCAGGTCCCCTTGGTGCCATCTCTTCATGTGCAGTCCCGGGCTCCTCCCCTTTATGCAGGCAAGGAACAGGACACAGACATTCAGGATCAGCCCAGGGGGGAGGTGGCACTCAGGGCCAACCTTCTACAAAGCCATAGTGAAAGAGAAAAAACAGGAGTGGGCATTTGGCTGCCAGGGACCGGACACATCATGGACTGCAGTGGCCAGTCAGCGTGGCCTTGGGCAGAACCATGAGCAAAGGAGGCCACTGCAGACTCTGCTGCCACATGTCCATGCACAGACACCCTGACTCATAGCAAACAGAGCCACAGCCAGGGTGGCCCTGAGAGCAGTCAGCAGGTGGGAGGCACAGAGATGACCATGCCAGGTAAGGGGAGTGGAGAAAGCTTAGAAAAGATGAGTGAGTGTCTCCCACGGGCTACATCTCTCTTCAGGGAACTCAGCTTGATTGGCCCTCCCAGTGGGCAGGGTGGTGTCCTCGGGGGATCCACAAAGCCTAGGGGTTGGCAGGGTCCTGGGGAGACCTCTTCTTGCTGTGGGGTGGCCCCAGTGAGCAACCAGGCCTGCCAGGAGGTGGAGCAGCAGCTCCAAGCCTTTGCCCCAGGTCCCTGCCCCCAGTTTGGGCTCACATTCTCCTTGCATGCACAGTGGGGGTTGCAGGTACCCAGCACCCTGGCCCTTGCAGGTGGCCATTGACTTCACAGCTTCCAACGGTGACCCACGGAACAGCTGCTCTCTGCACCACATTAACCCCTATCAGCCCAACGAGTACCTGAGGGCACTGGTGGCTGTCGGTGAGGTCTGTCAAGACTACGACAGGTACGGCCTGCTGAGGTGGTCACACAACTGTCTAGTTATTGGAGGCGCCTGTCCAAGCTCAGGCTAGGAGCAGGGTACACAGTGCACTAACCAGACACCTTGATTAACCATCCTAGCATCGAGTCTGGCCATTGTGGGGGCCTGGGTTAGAAGTGGTGTCCTGGCATGGCCAGTGCCTACCACATTCTCCTTCACCACTTACACAAACTCACTTCACAGACCAGCAAACTGAGGTCATGGAGGTTGGGGTGCTTGACTAGGGAGGGCCAAGTGTAAACCCAGGTGGGCTGGATTCAGCTCATCACCATGGCTAGACCTCTCCCTGACCCCTCCCTCAGTCTGGGTGAGAAGGGTAGATGCCCTGGGTCCTGCAGGTAGGAGGCCAGTCCATCTGGGACAGGGAGCCCTGGGAATGCATCTGTAGGTCAGGACCAGGACCACCTCAGAGTCATCCACCTGTGCACATGGGCCAGCTGCTGCCTCAGTTTCCCCTATGTGGCATGGCTGTGATGCCTAGGCCTAGGCCAGCAGTGCCCTAGTGTTCTGGGTTGTGGCCAGTGTTTGCCCAGCCCATCAGAGGGAAGCCAGTGTCCTGACTGATCACTGTTGCCTCTCTTCCAGTGACAAGAGGTTTTCTGCTTTGGGGTTTGGAGCCAGGATCCCTCCTAAGTATGAGGTAAGAGAGCCCAGGCTGGGGCCCTAACCCTACCCCCATCTGCCTCTCATGCCCCCCACCTCCCCAGGCAGAAGGTATCCTGAGTTCAGGACCCCTGGTTGCTACCATTCCCTATTGAGATGGGGTGGAGTGGGGTGCAGAGATCCTGGCCTTCCTGCCAGAGATGACCTTTGACCTTCTAGGACTTGTGGTGGGGCATTGGGGCTGGGGATATGTTCCATGTTACCATTAGAAAGGTGCAAGTAACAATTCAACTGACTGAGCAGAGAAAATGGTGGGGGGGATTTTAATTGACTGATGTAACTTAGACGCTTCAGGTTTGGCTGGATTCAGGTGCTAAAACAATGACCCAGGATTAGTCTCTCTCTCTCCCCTTGTCTTCCTTTCCACATGGGACCCCCCCAGAAGACATAAACTGACATCTCCCAGTAGGTGGGAACCATGGGGGTCTGGGCAGGTGGGTGACAGCTGACTGGTTCCTACTGTCTCCACCCAGGTGTCCCATGATTTTGCCATCAATTTCAACCCTGAGGATGATGAGTGTGAAGGTAAGAGCTGGAGGTGGCTTGGGGTGGGGTGCCCTGGGCCAGCCTTATTCTCCCATCCCCTACAGGAATCCAGGGTGTGGTGGAGGCCTACCAGAACTGCTTGCCCAAGGTCCAGCTCTATGGTCCCACCAATGTGGCACCCATCATCTCCAAGGTGGCTCGAATGGCAGCAGCTGAGGAGCTCACGGGAGCGGCCTCTGTAGGTGCCTGGGGTGGGTGCTGGGTGCATCGTTGGAGAGGCAGCAGTGCTGGCTGTGTGTGTGTGTGTGTGTGTGCGCGCGCATGTGTGGTGGGGACTTGGAGCCAGAGAGGCATCCATGCAGTTATCCAGATACAGGCAGAGGGAATAGCCAGTTCAGAGGCCTGGGGCAGGATGAGCATCAGAAGGAAACCCCAAGTGGTCAGTTTTTATCTTGGATCACAGGGCTGAATTAATCACGTAAAGGTCAGGCCCTGATCATGCTGCTGTTTATCCTTTCCTTATGCATACAGTTATTTTGTTCTCATAGGTCTTTTTTTTTTTGGGTGGGGGAAGGTTTGAACCCAGGGCTTCATGCTTGCAATGCAGATACTCTACTGCTTGAACCACACCTCCAGTTCATTTTGCTCTGGTTATTTTGGATATGGGGTCTTGCAAACTGTTTGCCCAGGCTGACTTCAAACCACTATCCTCCAAATTTCAGCCTCTGAAGTAACTAGGATTATAGGCGTGAGCCACCAGCACCTGGCCTGCATGTGTCTTTAATTGGCACAACAGACATCTCAGGATTGTATTCTGCGTGTGTAGCTCTGTGTGTTGCTATGGCACAGCTGGCCAGTTACTTTAACTTCATTTTGGAAAATAACAAGACAAAACAAAATAGCTTACAAGAGTGAACAGAAGGTCTGGAGGCGTGGTTCAGTCGGTAAAGTGCCTGTCTAGAAAACGCAAAGCCATGAGTTCAAACCCTAGTACCACTCCCCCCGCCCCCAAAGAAAAACAATAAAACAAAAAAAGACAAATGAAGATTGAGCAAAATAGTACATGACCTCTGGTCCGCCCTTCTCTGGGTCTCCTTCATTGACACTTGCCAGTTTGCTCTTCCTTCTCACCTCTCCTCTCCTCTCTCCTCCCCTCCCCTCTATTCCTGTCTTTCTTTCTGAGCCATGTGAGGGCAGCTTGCAGCCTGCTGTTGCCTCCCCCTTAAGTCCCCCATGTTGCACTTGTAGCAGGCTGAGTCTTGGGCAGTATCGAAGTGCAGCTTTCCAGCCAGGAGTGGAACCCAGTCCCCTGAGGGTCCACTTCCTCTCCTGTCCCAAGACCTACTCGGATTTGGGTTGGTCCTCAGTCTTGCATATTCCCCTCACCCTGACTCTGTCCAGACTGTGGCTGTATGAGGTCCTGTGGCCCAACTGCCTGATACCTGGGTTCGGGGAGGGCAAGGTGCCCCCAAAGTCCAGCCTGGGAGCAGGGGCTGTGCCGAGGAGGGCTGCTGGAGCCTCCTCCCCAGGGTCGGGCTGTCCCTTCCCAACACCAGAAGGGAAGAGCCCCACAGGCATCTGCCCGCCCTCTGTGCTGGGGAGGATGGGCAATGTGAGCCAAGCCAGTTCATCCTGGGTTCTTTGCTTCTGTTTTTTGTTTTCTTGCAGTGCTGGGAATGGAACCCAGGGCCTTGCCTATGCTAGGCAAGTGCTCCATCACTGAGCTGCACTCCCAGTCCGGGAAATTTAATATAGATGCAGTACTTGGGTCGATATGTAGAATGTGTTCCCATTTCATTAATTGTCACAATCATAATTTCCATAGCAGGGTTGTTTCTGGCACAGGACCCAGTCCGGAATCCAGGCTGCATTCAGCTGCCATGTTCCTGTATTATTTTGAAGCAAGTCTTAGACACATGGTTTTATCTGTAAATGTGGGGACCCTAACCCGTAGCAGGTCTACATCCAGCAGCGATCCTAGTGTTACGCGCCAAGGTCGTGTGTGATGTCTCCCTCTGCTAGCAATGGGTTGGTACAAGGACCGTGCAGCTGGTCCCTTAGCCCCCAGTCTCCTTCCATGGTTGTGAAGCTTGCATTCTAGCAAAGCCAGCAGAGGTGACAGCCAGGTGTTCAGAACTGGCGAAGCACAGAGGCTGTGAGAAATTAGAACATTGGACCTAGCCTGGGGGGGAAGGGACAGGGGGCTTCAAGGAGAACTGTTCATATGGATGCCAGGAGCCAGCCCTGGACAGGAAACAACCCAAAAAACAGGCAGTTCAATCAGCTGCAGTGTTCTGGTCCTGCAGAGAGGGGAGATGAGGTGGGCAGCAGGACAGCTGTCTGTAGAGTGGTAAGAACTGAGTCCTGAGGGCCGGTCAGGGCCATTGGCCTGTTCCCTCTTCATTTCCTGGACCCATATGCTATTGCTGGGTGCCCACTCTGAATAGGAGCACGGGTATGAGGAGGGCTGCTAGAGTCCAGGGCACATTCCTCCTCCTTTTTTCCTTCCCTCCCTCTCTCCCTCCTCCCTACCTTTCTCTCTTCTTCCCGCCCTCTCGGACTTCCTTCCTTCCTTCTCTCCTTTTCTTTCTTCTTGCCCTCCTTCCTCACCTCCCTCCCTTCTTCCCTCCCTCTCTCCTTTCCTTCCTCCCTCCTTTTCCCATTTCCTTCCTTCCTTCTCTCCTTCTTTCCCTCCTTCCTCCCTTCCTCCCTTCCTCCCTCCTTTCTCATTCTCCATATGTACCTGTGCTGGCCTGGAACTCCTGCCCAAGCCTTTCAAGTTTTGGAATTATAGGTGTGCAGCACCAATCTCAGCTCCTCTTCTTTTTTATATCCTCTGTTGTCAAGTTTTTAGTAAAACTGTGGAGTGATTTTGGATTTTCCAACAATGGAAATGGACTTTTATTTGACCCTAAAAAGTCCTACCCTACCTTCTTGCAGCATGGCCAGGGCACCTGGCTTCAGGGTCTGAGGCCCCATGCAGGGCCCAAAGACTCCTCTTCCTTAGGCCTTGGACCCAGGTTCAAATTACGGCTTAGTTGCCTCATCTGAAAAAGGTGGGCTTCCTAGTATCTTCGTGAGTCATAGGCAAGATCATGACAGGACAGTGTGCAGACGGAGCACTGAGCACACGCACTGCAGAGAATGCCTCATAATTTATTGGGATTATGAGCCCCACGTGCCTTAGCAGAAACAATTTCAGAAAAGCCTGGACGCTGCTGAGCTTCCCACGTCTGGGGCCACTCCAGCAGCTGGTGGTGAGGAGTGTGTGGCTTGGGGAGCCCTCGGTATGGGTGCCCCACTCCTTCCCTGTGCCCCCAGCAATACTACATCCTGCTGATCCTCACGGACGGAGTGGTGACTGACATGTCGGATACTCGGGAGGCCATTGTGCGCGCCTCCCACCTTCCCATGTCCATCATCATTGTGGGAGTGGGCAACGCTGACTTCACAGACATGAAGATCCTCGATGGCGACGACGGTGCCCTGCGCTCGCCGCGGGGCGAGCCAGCTCTCCGAGACATCGTGCAGTTCGTGCCTTTCCGTGAGCTCAAGAACGTGAGTGCTTCGAGGGACCGGGCTCAGGCCCAGGGGAGGTGCTCACTGCTCTGAGCACCCACCAGTGTCCCTGCTGAGGACACGGTCCAGCTGCTGGTTGGATGATTCCCAAGTCACTCCCTTCCCCGTCCTGAGCAGCCCCCAAAACTGGGGCTTTTAGCTCAAAAAATCTCTCTATAACACAGAGAGCAGAGAGGGTCTACTGTGCAACCAGCACCCAGCTTCCCTGCCTGCTTTCAAGCCCCTTTGTGACACAGTAAGGCCACATGAAGCGGACTCACACGTGCACACGCATGCACACACTCCGGGTTTCCTCAGGGCAGTGGGGAGTGGGCACCTGAACTGAGGTGGCCTCACTTCCCCTATCCCCCTGCTCCAGCCACTTCCCGCTGTGCTTGGAGAGTGGGAAGAGGGGCGGGTGGGGACTCCAGCACAGATAACCTGGGGATGCTGGGCACCCAGGTCAGCTGTTGTTGAGACTGCTGAGGGCTTCGAGACTCCTGTCCTTAGCCGAAGTTCAGCTGACCACCAGGTCAGTTAGTCCTGGTTGTCACCTAAGCTGAAGAGACCAGGAGCTGTGACTCACATGGGAACAGCGATCAGGTGGGCCTTCAGATGCACCATGTTGTTCAATCCCCCAGGCCTCCCCTGCGGCGCTGGCCAAGTGTGTGCTGGCTGAGGTGCCCAAGCAGGTGGTGGAGTACTACAGTCACAAGCAGCTGCCCCCACGCAGCCTTGCAGCCCACGCAGGAGGGCCTGGCCCAGGCTCGGCCCCGTGAGGACAGCAGGAGAGAGGCTGTGAGCAGTGTGTCCACACGGTCTCCATCTTCAGCACCCTCTGGGGCCTCTAAGCCCCTTGAGACCCCCAGAAGCCTTCCGTCCCCCAGCCCAGACCCCACCCCTTGTCCTCCTGTGGTCCTGCTGCCCTGGATCGGTGGCCTGGCCCCCAACGTAGAAGATGAAGAAGTCAAGACCCTATGGGAACCCAAAGCAGTGGTCCCCTGTGCTTGACCCTGGGCGGTGTAGGAAGGCGGTCACTAAGACAGCAGAAGGGGGTCAGCAGCTCCTTCAAGTGGGACCTCTCCTAAATGATGGAGAGAGGGATTGGGGATCCTTGTGGGGAAGGGGCAGTACCCCAGCCACCGAGGACACCTAGGCCTAGACACTCTGTCCCTTTGAGTCCCTCTTTGACCCAGCTGGGGCTACCCCACCTTATCACCCACCCTGTACCTCAGTATTTGTGACCCTGGGGCCTATGGGGTCTGTGGGTGGGGATCTGGACTAATAAAGTATCCCTGACCCTTGCAGTGTCTTTCCTACCTCAGAGGACCCGTGCTGGTGGCCCAGAGCCAGATTTGCCAGGTCACCCACACCAGTTCTGAGGCCCCAGCAGCCCAGTCTGCTCAAGTAGCTGAGCAGAGAGGGCACTGAGTGACTTCCGTCTGCAATCAGGTGCTCTAAAAGGGAGGACCCACCATGTGCCACAGGGCAGTGAGCCAGAGGCCAGGCAGCTCCCACGTGCCCAAACCCCTTGGGGCAGGTTTCCAATTGTGATTTCCTCTCAATTATTTTGTCTGAGAAAAACAAATTGTCCCGACTGAATCAGGCCCACCCACCCATCAACCCATCCATCCACTCAGGGCTATTTTTAGCTCCTGATTCATCTCCTGTTAAGCCGGGGATAATAGACATCGCCATGGTAACCTGGCTATGATCTGGAAGGGCCGATGGATGTTGGTCTCTTTGGGGACAGAGAGGACACCAGAGAAAGTTCCCTCCATTTGCATCTGTAACTGCAGGGCCCAGGCACGGAAGATTAAGTGGCAGCTCTGTTCTGACCTGGTCCCCTGCCAGTTCCAGGGCCGAAGGGACCTGGCAGTCCTGGGTTCCATGTGGATGAAGTCAAGGGTCCTGAGGTCCCAACGGCAGCAGGTAACAGAGAGACCAGAAGAAGGTCTTTCATTCGCTGGAGGGAAGCATGGCTGATCCTGGGGTGGCCCTTGGCCAGAGGGCCTTGGAAGGAGGAGAGTCCTTCCCAGAGCTGTGGCTCTCAGGGATGGAGCCACTCGGGATCCCTGGGAAGCAGGAAGGAGGTTTCTGTTGTTTGCCACCTGAAGATCCTGATCTAGAAGAATGACACAGACTTCCATTCCACAGATAAGAAAACCAAGGTTTAGCTGGGCATAGTAGTGTACACCTGTAATCCCAGCTACTTGGGAGGCCAGCCCAGGCAAAGTTAGCAAGACCCTATCTCAAAAACAAAAATACAAAACAAAGGGGCTAAAAAAAAAAAAGGTAGAATGGAAGACTTCAAAGCCAGGTGCCAATGGCTCATGTCTGCAATCCCAGCTACTCAGGGGCAGAGATCAGGAAGATCCAGGTTCAAAGCCAGCCAGGCAAATAGTTTGTGAGACCCTATCTTGAAAAAAATCATCACAAAAAAGGGCTGGTGAAGTGGCTCAAGGTGTAGGTCCTGAGTTCAAGCCCCAGTACCACAAAAAATGGGGAGGGGGTTGGGTGGTATCTCAAGCGGTAGAGCACTTGTCTAGCATTTGAATACTAAAAAAAAAAAAAAAAAATCAAGGTTTGGATGAGTGGAGGGACTTGCTTGGGTCACATGACTAGTGGTGGCAGGACCAGAACCCAATCTGCAGGTCCCGTTTTTACACATTTCACTGCTTTGACAGAGGCATCATCTGGGTCTGGCATAGGGAGGGCATCCCAGATAAGGCAGCCCAGCCAAGGCAGTCAGAAATCCTGCCGGTGAGATAGAAACCTGCAGACAAATCTTCAAACAGAAGACAAGTCCCTGAATCTTCAGCACCTCTCAACTCTTGCTCAGAACAGCGCAGATGTGCTGCACACTTTGGATAAGAATTTTCTAAATAAGCAGAACTAGGAATCGTAAAGCAGATGAGAACCCTGAAGGTGAAGCAACCCAGCCCACTGGCAGCCAGCAACCCCTCCTCTGAGGCACTGGGGATGGGAATACAGCCTGGAGGTGTAGCTGGTCAGGCTGCACACCTGGCTCTCACTTAGAACGCCTGTCTCAGAAGTCCTCTCAGTGGGATTGATTCCGAGCCTCATTCCTTGTCTGGCACAGGGAAAATGGCAGCTTTCACGTGTGGTCCTGAGAGCTGGCTTTACTCTGGGCAGACTTGGGGTTCAATGTGATTTTCAAGAGTAGGTCATAAAAATGTCAAATGCTAGCTGGGCCTGGTGGCTGTGCCTGTAATCACAGCTACTCAGGAGACAGAGGCAGGAGGATAGAAAGTTCGAGGCCAGTCTGAGCAAAGTTACTAACTAAGACTCTCTCTCAGAAACAAAATACAAGGAAATGGGCTGAGAGTGTGGTTCAAATGGTAGCACTGAGGCCCTGGGTTCCTTTCCCAGTATTGACCTCCCTCTTCCTCCTCCACCCCCCACCCCACCCCACCCCCCAAAAAAAGAAGTCAAGCACTGAGGTGCTGGAAGACTCAGGCAGCCCTTGTAGTGAGGAGGACGCCCCAGACCTGTGGAGTCCCCAGCCTAACCAGTCCAGTCAGCCCACTGCCTCAGAGTGGCCCCTAGAACCATGGAGCCTGTAGTCGAAACTAAGCCCTGGTGGACATCTCTGCAAACTCAGAGGAGACCCTGACCAGAGCCATACAGCCATCTTTCTTCTGGCTCCTGCCCCAAGGAAATGGTTGAGTAGATCCATGTTTCCTGCACTCTGATCACCATGCTCTGGTGTGAGCTGCCGCGTACCCTATATAACTGAAGCGGCCTTCACAGGAATCCTGTGCAGGCTGCCTGGTGCCACTCAGGCCTGGAACAAGACACCTGATGGATGAATAAACAGGAAGGGCATATGGCTTCTCTTTCTCAGTCTGAGGGAACAGCCAGCTTCAGCTCCATCCTTGTGCTCTAACATTCCCTGCCCTGCTGATCATTCACCTCCCACAGATACCCCACTGGGCCTCAGAGGCCAAGCACTTGTTGTCATTCTCATCGGGTTGGTCCCCACTCTGTCCCTAGAGTCAGGCGTGCTGGAGGAGTGGGAAGAGGGCAGTCCCATCAAGGCTGTTCTTTCTCCTGCTGCCAAGAGGAAGCACAGAGAGGAACCTGTGACTAAGTGCTCGTAATTGGTGCGGGGGCCGCAGGGCTGTCAGACAGAGCACCACCACCCCACTGCCGCCTGGGCTGTGGGCAGGCTGCTTCTCTCGCCTCCCGCCCCTCGCCTGTTCCGGTGTGGTGACCCCTCCATGAGTGGGCACCCAGGACCTGGGCCCAGCGGGGACCCCCTCCCCTTCCTTTCCTTCCCTTCCCTCTTTTCTTCCCCTCCCTCTTCTCTTCCATCAAGGTCTAGACAGTGACAGCGCCTGCATCCTGTGCAGTATTCCTTTCCCTGCTCGTTCTCGTACTCGCTGAGCTTGGTTTAAACATCGCATGTTGAGTTCTCACAACATCACAACAGCTCCACGTGGCGGCCTGTTGTGCGTGCATTTCACAGAAGTGGGAAGTTCAGAGAAACTGAGCCACTTGGCCTAGGATGTCCAACAGGGTCCTGAGCTGGGCCTTGCTCCCCGGGCCCCAGGCCTTCAGCCCTTGACTGTGCATATGTGTTTAGGCATGTATGTATGTGTGCACATGTGCATATGTGGGTGCACACATATTGCTGTCCCACTGTACATCTAGGGAGGGTTGGAGGTGGAGTCTGTTCTTGGTTGTTCTACTGAAACTTTGTTGCAGACCTCCAGCCACACCTGGGGTCAGGCCACTCTGTGGGGTTTCAGCCCATCATAGGCAGTCATTGGAGTGAAGCATGTGACCTTCTGGCTCTGGGTGAGACCCACAACCCACTGGGATGGGCACGTGTGGGAAGGCCTGTTTCTCTGGTTACATGGGTGAAAACTAGGCTGTTGGGTTGTGTGAAGCACTTGCCCATGGGTCGCTTCAGCCTCCAGAAGGTTCCATTTTAAAGCCATAGGTGGATACTCAGCCAGAGGGGGCAGGAAAGGCAGGGAGCTTCTAGGGGTGCAGGGTGTTGCTTTTGAACCTGGATAGCAGGCCCTGCCATGCACTGAACTTTCCTAAGATAGCTCTGTTGACCAGGATGTCCTTGAGAACTGCCCTGGGGTAGCACAGAGGGGCCTCCTCCCTTGCTCTGGGCCCATGGGTGGGAATCAGTGGTACTCCTTCCTCTGTGGTATCCATTTCAGCAGCCAAGACAAGAGTCAGGGACTTGTTCCTAGGACATTCACCAGAGCCAGCCTCTACCCAGCACTCCCCCCTCAGCAGGGGCCACAACTCCGACCCTGACCTTGACTGGGAGCTGATGGTACAGGCAGATTTTTCTGGAGCTGCTGACTTGAGTCTGTGAGGGCCCTTACCCCTGCTAGACCCCAGGCGATCCTTGGAGGGGCTTCAGGCCTAAGAGCCACCAGGACTGCAGCTGTCAAGGGGAAGTGAGAGAGTGCCGGAGTCGGTGTGGCTCACGAGCTCCCTTTTTCTTTCTGAGGCTCCAAGCCTGGGGTCAAGTGCTTCCAGCTGGTGATGCTGATGTGTATGGTCCAGGCTCTCAGGACCACAGGAAGGAAAACCCTCCACCAAGTCCTGCAGGTCCACTGGGATTCCTTCCTTCCATGTTTATTCCTTGTCCCAGCCTGTGTTACAAAATGAATCTGCTTTGACAGGCTCAGGTCCCTCCTAGACACTCCTACTGTGCATCCAGGAAGACCAGGGGTCTATTCTGGCCGCACTAGCCATTTCTGTGGCCTGGGGCAAGTGCCTCTCTGTGCTCACAGAGCACCTGACTGCTCACAAGGTGCCCCAGACACTTTGCTGGGCTTTGAACTTTATAGAGAAGGAGTCATGGGCATGTGGCCCTTTTTCACTGGTCTGTGGGATTCGCTGTGTCCTGGTGAGAGACATGCATCTTTTGTCCTCTCCATGGGCAAGGTCCACCTTCTTTTCGTCTACACTCTACTCTAACGAGCAGAGCTGCTCTGGACATTCTGAAACTCAGTTCTGGCAGGTGTGTACCTCAGAGCTGACCTGCTGGCCAGAGATGTGGATGAGTGCAGTCTACTCAGTAGAAATGGCCACATGGGTCTGCAGGGGGCACATGCTGCAATTTGTCCTTTTCACCTCAGCCTTTCTGTGGATGTGGCAAGTCCTGGGGCTTGACTTGCATTTCCTCCTTGGCTCTTGAGGTCAGGGACATGTCCAGCTGCTTACAGGCCACTGGGGGTTCCTTTGGGAAGCCCCTGGTACATTCTCACAGGAGCCTCACCCCCTCCCCCACAATATGGAGGAAGGTTCTTGAGCACACTTCATAGTGGCCAAGGCTACTCTGCCCTGTTTGGGACCACTGTTGGGGGTCTACAAGGAGACCTGGGCACCTCTTTCTGGGCCATGACCATTCGACTCTCTTGGATTTCCAGGCCAGGGGCCGGGCCAGGACAGTCCCTCTATGGAATTGTGGTGCGGCCTGTATGGACTGACTCAGTAGTCAAGAGTCAGACCCTGCTCAGGGCGAGCAGGGCCACCTCTGTCAATCCCTTTCGCTTTGTTTTGAGCTCGCCATGACACACAGTGTTGCTCGGGAGAAATCGACCAGGTCCTTGGCACAGAGTGGACAGATAAGATATATGGAAAGGGGTTCCTATTCAAGGACATTCCAAAGCCATCCTGTGAGGCTCCAGGACATGGACACAGCTGGCTGGTGGTCAGGGTGGCGTGGCAGTCCCTATCTACGGCTGTACGGTGGGTAATTGGTGTTATCTGGGCTTATGACTCACTGCCTTGTCACCCACCAATGGACATTTGGGTCACCCTTTACCCTTTTAGGGATGCTATGAAAAAGCAAGCCATAACCACCACACTTGCATGGTCTGTCCATAGTGGAGCGAGGCATTTCACGTTCAATTTCATGCCTCTTGTGAGAATGGGCACAACCTTCCCCTCATGAGCTCGTGAGGAGAGGCTACACAGTCCTTCCAGAGTCTTCCTCTCTGCCCAAGAGCGCTGACCCAGTGACCATCAAGCCAGATGGCCCAGGAGGTCTGGCCACAGGACATAGCAACTCATTAAGGAGTGTGAAGGTAGTGGTGTGTCTGGGGAACACAAGGGCTGTTTGTTCCTGGCCAGTCATTTTGATGGCATAACTGCTCAGCATTGGCACCTGAGTACAGCATCTGGACATCACATCATGCCGAAACTGGTGGTGGAGACGGTGGCCAAGGGAACTGTGTCCTGGCCAGCAGGCAGTTTTGCTTCTCCCACAGTCTCTTCCCCAGGAGAGGGAGGCGCCTGGCCCCACTTTGCTTTAAGTGACTAGAAACAGCATTGGGTTGGACCATCGCACAGTCACACAGTCTTGGGGATCACTGATGTGTGAGCCAAGACTCCGTCTGGCCCTACCTCACCTGCACAGCCAGGGAATTTGCCTTTAGAAAAGAAAGGCCAAGCCGGGCACTTGTGGCTCACGTCTATAATCCTAGCTACTCAGGAGGTAGAGATCAGCAGGATCGCTATTCAAAGCCAGCTCAGGCAAGACCCCACCTCAAAAAAACCCAACACAAAAAAGGGCTGGTTGAGTGACTCAAGCAGTAAGAGTGCCTGCCTTGCAAATGTGTAGGCCCTGAGTTTGAACTCCAGTGCCTCCAAAAAAAAAAAGGAAAGGAAAGGTGAAGTAATTGCTTTTTTTGGAGTGTGGAGGTGCTCCCAAACTCTTTTCACCACAGCAGGGGGCCTCACGGCCAGGGTTCCCCCTTGGACAGCTGGAGTTGGGGCTGTGGGAGCTAGAAGGGGAATCCACAGAAGAAAATGCTAAAGCCCACAGCTAAAGCTCACGGCTAAGCAGGACAGGTGCTTGGCATCAACGAAGTTCAAACCAAGACTTCAAGAACCTCCATGAGCAAATGCCAACATTAGTAAGACTGAGGACGCCAAGTGAGGGCAAGATGTGAGCAACTAGACTCTCCACATGCGCTAAGGGTGCTTGACCCCTTTGTGAACCTCTTGGGGAACCCAGTGCTGCTGGACTTCGCTGGAGGGCCTCCCTCTGATGCAGACTCTGCTCCGGGGGCCATGCCCAGAGAAGCGAGTGTGCATCACGAGCGCCTGCACCATGGGACAGTCTACAGCAATTGGACTGAAGGACACCTGAACCTCACAGCTGGACGAGGGGGAGAAGCTACGTCACGTGATTCCATTATATGAATGAGAGCACAAGGGAAGTGCTCTGTCCTGGTCTGGTCAGGGGAGATACATACACACGTCAACGCCCAACGTGATGGACTTTGCTCAAATGTGGGAGGCATTGAGTTACGTTACTTGAGATTTCTATTCTTCAATCCATGAAAGTTACACCTAAGGAAGTCAGTCTGAGCCAGGTGCCAAGGGCTCACACCTGAAATCCTAGCTACTTGGGTGACTGAGATGGAGAGGATTGCGGTTCAAAGTTAGCCAGGGCAAAATGTTCGAGAGATCACACCTCCAAAGTAACCAGAGCAAAGTGGACTGGAGGTATGGCTCAAGAGGCAGAGTATGTTTTGCAAGTGCAAAGCCCTGAGTTCAAATCCCAGTCCCACCAAAAAAGAAAAAGTCAGTCAGACTCCTAATCAACCCTTGGCACCTGGCTGACACCCCAGGCTCCTCTAACTCCTGGACATTGAAATTTGGCCATTCTGGCCCCTCTGCTGGATTGGCAGAGCCTGGTTAGGCACTGGACCTAAAGTCTTGCCTAGGAGGGCTGGTGGAATGGCTTAAGTGATAGAGTGCCTGCCTAGAAATCCGAGTTCAAACCCCCCCAAAATTAAAAAAATAAATTCTTGTCCAGGAGAAAAAACTGGGAGGAGAGCAGTTTGTCCTCCCTTGGCAAGCTTTTCCTGCCTTTGCATTTCTTTTCTAAGGTGTCCTCTGTGGACCCTGGTGGCCTGGGACCAACAGCAAGCCAGGCTAGGCTTTGTGCACCCAGGCTATGAGGACAGCACTGCAACAGGTAGGGCCGTGCAGTGGGAGCCCTCCTCCCAACCCACCCTGGCAGTCGGTTGCAGACTGGGCACCTCGTTCCTGTGGGCTGTGGCCAGTGCTCAGCAGTGGGTAGTGTACACTTCAGTGCCAGGTTTGTGATTCTTAACCCCTGGGGTTGCAGCTCTCCATTTGAAGAGAAGCAGAGGGGCACAACTGCTAGCTCTGCACTCACAGAGGGCTGGGTTCACACTGGCCCCCTCCCTCCTTCCCTAGTGTGCCTGTTTCCTGTCTGTGGAATGGGTTCCTAACTCTACAGGGTCTTCTGTCTCGTGGGGTCTCAAGGCTCCTCCAGGCAGAACGCTGACCCTAAGGCCCAAAGTTGACATTATACTGCCTTACCCTATGCAAACCAGGGTCCCTCCCCAGCAGCTCAGCCAAGGCCAGGGATCCTGCTGAAGGCTCTGGTTGGGCCTTGAGTCCAGGGAGGGTTGAGTTGGCTGACAGTGGGTAGTGAGTGAAAACGGGCTCATTTGCCCTAAAACAGTGACTGAGCCTTGAGTTGAGCTATACTGGAGCCAGCAACACGGGCCAGTGCACTCCCTCTTGGTGTAAGCCATTGTGTGCCAGTGGTAGCTGGAAATGTCCCATAGAAGAACATAGGGCCAAGAGGGGTCCAGTGGTGCCTTCCTCCTGGAGCATGGAAGTTTGGCCATTGCAGATCTGTGGCTGGGGTAAGGGCCATGCTGGGTGAACTGCCCACACATTCTAGAGTCCCAGGAAGGAAGCAGGGACCCTTCTAATTACTTAAGGTGATGGGTGCTACCTCCCAACCCAACCCTTCATTTCAGCTTCTCTGGGGTGAAATATGCTCCCCTCACCCCCAGACAAGTGGGGAGGCTGCTAGATGGCCTGCAGGACCCTCCCTCCTGCATCCTCCATGCTGTGGCCCTGGGGGAGGAAGGGAGGCCTGCAGTGCAGCAGGTATCCAGGCTTTTGAGGGCAAAGGATGTCCTGGGGCTCTGGATTCACCCTGAAGTCCCAAGGAGAAGGGTGCTAGAGTCAAAAGGCCCAGGTTAGACCTGAAGCAGGGTCTATGCAGCATGAAATTTCTGCTTTTATTACCAGGCCAGGGGTTAAGTACAGTGTAGGTCATGAGGCCAGGCCAGAGCGAGCAGGTTGGGGTGGGTCAGGTGGGTCAGTCCATGGTCCAGGGTAGGCGAAGGCCAAAGTCGCCTATCTTGGCCTTGTAGACGGCGTTGAACTTCTCATTGTGCTCTGGAGTGAAGTGTTCCTTCCAGTTCCCCACTACGCCTGCAGGGAAAACAGAAAAAGGAGTTAGGCCGTGGGAGAGGAGACATCAACTACTCGGAGAAACACCACCCACCCCAGGGGTCTCTGTGAGCCCCTGGGAAGGAGGTGACCACTGTCTCCCATCACCATGAGCTGAATTGTGTCCTGCAGAAGTCTGCGTGCATGTCCTGCCCTGGCTATCTGGGAAAGCAGGGCCTTTGCAGTGTCATCAGTCATGAGGGGCTCTAATCCAATGACTGTGTCTTCATGAAGAGAACCAGTGACCATAGGGCAGAGCCTGGAGCAATGTAGCTGCAGGCCCCAGAATGCTGGAGTCACTGTCATGGGAATGGAGGAGGCAGCTTGGAGCCTCCCCAGAGCCTTGAGAGGAAGCGTGGCCTGAGGACACCATGATTTTGGAGCCCTGGCCTCCAGGATTGTGAGGGGATGTTTTCTCTTGTCTGTGGCTCTTCATGTCGAAGCCACAGGAAACAGTCACCCGAAGCCATCCCACCCTGCAGCCATATTTGGCTCCTTCTAGAGCCAAGGAGGCTGAGGGGCCACTGGAACCTTTCCTGAGAATTTGACATGTTGAGCCTGATGTGAGGATACATGCCTGTAAGCGCTGCACTTGGGATGTTGAGGCAGGAGAATCACAAGCTTAAAACCCACCTGGATAGGGTGCCAGTGGCTCACACCAGTAATCCTAGCTACTTAAAAGGCAGAGATCAGGAGGCTCACAGTTCAAAGCCAGCCTGGGCAAATAGTTTGTAAGATCCTATCTTGAAAAAACCCATCACAAAAACAGGCTGGTGGAGTTGCTCAAGGTGTAGGCCCTGAGTTCAAGTCCCAGTACTGACAAAAAAATAAAGCCAACCTTAGCTACAGAGTGAGCTCTTGTCTCTGGTGGCTCACACCTGTAATTCTGGCTATTTAGGAAGCTGAGATAGGGAGGATCCCAGTTCCAGGCCAGCCCCAGCAAATAGTTCATGAGATACCCATCTCCAAAATAACCAGACCAAAAATGGACTGCTCAGGCAGTGGAGCACGTGATTTGTAAGGACAAAGCCCTAAGTTCAAACTCTAGTCCCACCAAATAACAACCACGACCAAAGAACTTGACATGCTGATGCCTTGGATACAGACATCCGTAATATCTGCGACGGCAAACCTGCCATCGTGGAAGACAGGGCCCCAGGTCCCACATGTCAGTGGAGTCCTGGTCCAGCTAGGGGTTTTAGCAGGGACAGTGGCAATCCCAGGCCATGTTTTTAGTTGCCATGCGGTGGGACCAGAGATGTGAAGCTAAGATGGCCCCACACAGTGTCCAAACACCCCATAGACACTGGGATGGACCTAAACCCCATCCATAACCATGTTCACCTGGAGCCTAGCTTCCCTTCTACAGGGTCCTAAGGACACTTTGTACGTAGCTTCCCAAGAATTCAGCAGCCATGTCACCGAGGTGAGGGTGAGTTTCATTTTGTTCTAATTTCTCCAATCACTGTCTTCATTTTAGAACCTGTACTGTCTGGGTCTGTGGCAGCACCATTGAGCAGGAAGCTGGGAGGCACGGACCTCATGGTGCCATTGTAAGTTGTTGCTGTGGAAGGAGCTGAGCATTTTGTACTGTACACTTGTCTTTTTGTAAGTTACTTTTCTTACTTTCCTCCTCTATAGGACAGTTAGGCTGCTCATTTCTCAGACATATGGGGTGGAGGGCAGGTTGTAGTACCTACAGATAGATGTCCTTCAGGATAGTGAAAGAGCTATGCACAGTGCCCAACCGGGGTGGGGTGAGGGGACTGGACTGTGACAGATTCTCCCCATGATAATGAACGAGGGCTGGCTTCCCTCAGAGCAGCAATAGTTTGGAGGAGATGGAGTTGAGGCTCCCTCATAGAGGGGATCAAAAAAAGTCGGGCTTGGGGGCCCTGGGAACAGAGAGGTTTGAGTCAGAGCTGCAGTCTGAAGATGATGACAGCCACTGGGGAGAATGCCACAGGCTGACACTCCCCTCTGATAATGGCTTTTGGTGTTCTTGTTTTGTGTCAATTCTGTAGTGTCAACCTAAAGCCCTTACCAGGACAGGCTCATGAGGAGAGAGATGAAAGCCAGAAAGGAAGGTGAAGGAGGTGAGTAGACAGGGCAGATGTGGGAACTGAAGCCAGGTGTGAGAGGACAAGGGCTGACTGGCCCAAGAATGGGGCCCAGGAAACAGCAGCAGTTTGAACAGAGGCTGGAAGGCCTGGTACCTTTCCGTAGGAACTTGCCCCGGTTCTGGTCCATGATTTCCTTGGATACCAGACTGTAGTTGACTACGCCGCTCATGAAGGAGAAACTGCAGTGCCTCATGATGAGGTCCTTCTCTTCCGGCCCCAGCGGGTGCTGCAAGAAGTCACTTAGCTTCTGGATGGTGCCCCGAGGTTCCTGGGCCCAGAGAGGAAACACACAGGGAGGATACATATGTGCAACAGAGATTTAGGACCCTAAAATAATACACTAAGTGACCACAAATGTGAGCAACCATGCTCAGATCAGCACGGTTTTTTTATGGCAAGAACTTGGAAACAGCACAAATGTCCAACACTGAAGGGAAATTCGAGATGTATCTATATCATAGAGTATTATGTAGCCACTCAAAATGCATGGGAAAATAATACATTGAAATGTTAAGGGAAAAACAAAGGATGCAAAATGTTGCATGTGCAATGCAAGCTCCACTTTGTAAAAGTAGAGAAAATTAAAAAAAAAACTAGATGGATACACACATGGATGGATGGATTGATTGATGGTTGGTAGATGGATAACTGGATGGTGGACAGATGAGTGAATTAATGGATGAATAGAGAGATAGGTAGATGATAGTAGATGGGTGGGGGTGGATGGTTAAATAAATGGACAGGTAGCTGGGTAGTTATCTTAAGAGCCAAAAAAACACAAGACCCAGTTAGTTGATGGGGGTGGCAGAGGTCCTAGCACAGCTATGAATTTATGAATCGAACCATAGGTCCCAAGAGCTACACGATCAAACGTTCTTGAAGCTTGAAGCACTGCCATCCTGTGTTTGTGTGTGTGTGTTGGGGGGGAGGTGGTTGAACTCACTTGCTAAGCAGGCTCTTTATCACTTGAGCCTCTCTGCCAGCTGCCATCCTGTTTGCTGATGGTAATACTGCTCTCAGAATCCTCCAAGATATTTCCAGCCACACACTGGCAATATCACTGGACATTACAACTCATCTACTGGAAAGGAGGCCCTAAAGTCACCTGGCTCCTCATTGTCACCTCCATCTGCATGAGCATCTGTTTTTCATTCATTTAGCAAACATATTCCTAGCACCTACCACATACCAGGCACTACTGTAAGTTCTGGGAAAACATCAGTGACTAGGAAAAAATTGCTTCTGTAGTAAAGTCTGAGCCCAGAGGACACAGAAAAAAAGTCAGTGAAAAAGGAGACGACTACAGTGTGTCTGATCTCAGCCCCTACTCACATGCCAGGACCTGAGCCCTGTTCAACCTGGGGTCAGCACCATCCCTAATCTTAAGAGGACCAAAAACTTAGTATAGACATTCTGAAGAACAAAACTTTGTATTTTACAGAATTGGCCACACATCCCAATACCATTCCCAAATCCAAAAGCTTTGGGAACTGGTTGTTAATTTTTGTACCAAAACCCATTTGGTTGGAAAAACCTGGCCTCGGTAATGTGAGGCTGTGATCATTTTTGTCTGGCTTGAGGCAGAAGTGGTACTGTCTGCTGGGTCTGTTGAGCAGTCCCTGCCGCATCACAGCATGTGTGGAAGGTGTGTGGTCCCAAGACCCTGTGACCCTGAATACTTAAGCACATGTGGCCCCAAGGATTGGGGATGAGGTCTGTAGGCTTCTGAGAGGTCAGCCTTGTGGACGTACACTAAAACATACTATCAAGTGAATTTCAACTTGTTATTCTGAGTTGAAATCTTGTTGTTTACACATGATATTGGAACAGCTCAGAGAACTCAAGGTTCTCAAGTGTCATGCGTGGAAACTGGTGGCTGTGCCAGAGTGGGTTGAGTAATCAGAAGGCCTGTCTGTTCCCTTAGACTTAGGAGCAAATAGACTGAAGTTATGAATGCCATAAAAATGTTTATAGGAGCTGATCTAAGTTATAGATGGAGTCAAATGTGAAAGACTCCCTTGATCAATGAACAGGATAATAAAATTCATAGACTTGCCGGGTGTCGGTGGCTCACACCTGTCATCCTAGCTACTCGGGAGGCACAGATCAGGAGGACTGCGGTTCAAAGCCAGCCCAGGGAAATAGTTTGCAAGACCCTATCTTGGAAAAATCTCTCACAAAAAAAGGTCTGGTGGAGTGGCTCAAGATGTAGGCCTTAAGTTCAAACCTCAATACCCAAAAAAAAAAATTATAAACTTGAATGTATAACTTAAGGAGAATTAGGATTTATATTTTAGATCATTAATACATTAACTATTAAAATTTAAAGTGCACACAAAAGCCATTCTCAAAACTCCAAACTGACAGTTGGCATTAGTTTTGGGAAGTATGAATCAGGAGCAATCACAGGTCTAAAGGTATCTCTGGGAAGACCTATCCCAGGCGAGAGTGCATCACAAATGTTCTGGAAGAGTTGGGGGCCCAAGGGCTTTGACCGAAGAGGGTTCAGCAGCTGGAGATGGTGGGCTGCATGGGAGGGGTACCCACCTGGTGCATTTCCTCATAGGTCATAAGAAGCATGTTTAGATTTTTCTGGAGGCTCAGCCACCCCTTCATGTGGTCAAACCAGGAGCCGTAGAAGACTGGGGAAGAAAGAGATAGGGAACATACTGGGCAGGGCCCCTGAAAAGCAGGGTATCCTCTTAAGTGGCCAGAACATGAAGGCTGCCCCACCAGCCTGGTGACAGGAGGTGGGGGCCCTAGACACCACTTTCAGTCCCTGAAACCCACCTGTGCCCTCAAGAAACTCATCCATAAAGTCCTGGAATGAGCTGGGGTCGGGCAGGAAGTTGGCGATTCGTTGGAAGTGGTAGAAGGAAACAAGCACATCCTTGGGGTTCCGCGCCATGTACACCACCTGTGCAGAGTGTGCCCCAAACCTGATGCCTTCAGGCTTGGGACTTTCCCTGCCTGCTGTGACCTTGGTGGCAGTGCCCTGTCTAGGAAGGTTGGTGGGAAAAGTCACACAGCTCTGGCTTGGGGCCCTCAACCCAGGAGTGGTGAGGTGAATGCCAGGCATGGAGTGGAAGCCTGGGACAGACCTGGCTTTCTGAGCAGCAGCCTGCAAAACCCTCATGTGGCTGGTGAACAGGTGAGCCAGGCCCTGGGCTGTCCTGAAAGCAGATTTAACTAAAGGCAGGCAAGAAGTCTTCTTTGCTCTGAACTGGTCACTCCCAGCAAGGGACAGAGGGACAGGCTGAGCCCTGCAGAAGTGACATCGTAATTAGTTCACTCATTCCCTCAGGTTCTGAGCACAAGGTGGGGGCCTCACCTGTCTAGGCTCCACCCAGATCCAAGTGACCTGGACATTGCCAGTGGTTCTGGCAGGGACCTCTCTCTGCAAGGTCCATTTGTTTCTACACCCTCCCAGGTGTAGAAGGACCTCTTTTCCCCATAGCCATCTACTAGGCCAAGATGGATGACTCAGGCCTTCACCTCCCCTGGATCATGGACTGACCTGCCTGACCCACCCTATGCTGCTCTGTGACCTATGCTGTGCTGTACCCCTGACCCAGCAATGAAACAGAAGGTTCCGCCCTATAGACCCTGCCTCAGCTCCTCAGCTCTAGCCAGGGCTGGGATTTCTGCCCGTTTGTACTCAGTGTACTAGTACTAGTACTTGAGGGTAAAGTGAAACCCCCCTAGCACCGTTTTGCTCCAGAGAGCCTGGCCCCAGGACTTGGCTCTGATTCTGAGACACTTGGGATGGGGCAGGGGGACTCTCTCTTACCCGAGTCTTGGATTTCATCAGGGCCGGGGCCAGGGCCTTGGCACAAAGGTGAGTGGTGAGCAGCGGCGGCCGGGTGGTGTCCCACTGGGCAAGGAGGCTGCTGAAGGAGATATGCTCTATCCGAGGTGCACGGATCCAGTTAGGGAGGTGGCGAATGGGCCACAAGTTGCCCTCACAGAAGATCAGACTCAGAACCTGCTGCATCCATGTGGTACCCGTGCGGCATGAGGGGTGGGAGCCAGGTGGAGCAGGCAGTGAAATGTGGGCGATGGGGGTACTGCAGCTCCTCCTACCAATGTCACTCACAGTTCTGCCTCCCAGAAACAGAATAGGAGCCCAGTTCAGGCAAGTGCTCGGCCACTTTGTAACAATGGTCACCTCTTCCCAAGTTTCCAATGACACCTCTCTCATTTCCATCTGAGACCTCATCGAATGGCCACTGCCATCCATATTCTACCAATATTCTGTTCCTGAGCACTTGAGTATTTTATTTTCTAAGAAGACTGGGGTTCTCTACAATAGTCCTCATTTCTTTTGAGGGGAGCAGTGCTGGGGATGGAGCCCAGGGCCTTGCAAGTGCTAAGCAAGCACTCTACATTGAGTGGACCCTTCTCTTTTCTTTCTGAGTTAGAATTATCTGCTCCTAACAACATGTGCCATTTCTAGCACGCACCTCAAATCTCTTCCACCTCCTTCCCTCTAGCTCCAAGACTGTACCCACAGTTTAGAACTTGTTATAGCTGCACCCCCCCACATCTCAGTGCTAATTTCTGTCTTAGAATCCCAGCAGGTTATGAAAAAATATGTTTCGGGCTGTGGGTGTGTCTCAGTGGTTAGGGCACTTGTCTAGAATTGTGTGGCCCTGGGTTCCATCCCCATCACTGAAAAAGCAAACGAAAGAAAGAAAAGAAGAAGTATGTTTTAGAAGAAAAGCAGTTGTCCTCATACGCACAAATAGTAGGTAGTTAGCGGGCATAACAGCAGAGAAAACCTCACTCACAACAGGGACAGAGGCAGGCCGTAGGAGGGAGTGAGCATGTGATGCCTACATCGGAACAGTGCTCACGCCTCTGTGAAGACTCGGGGCGGGCTGGGCAGATGGAGAGAATCCTTTGTCCTCAGACAGGATGACTTGAAAAAATAAATAAACCAGTTCTCCCACATTAATCTGTAAATCAAATCCAATCCTAATAAAAGAGTTAGACAAGTAGATACGTAAGTTACATAAAAACAAATACACAAAAACTAGCCTTCTAGACATCAGAACAAAGCCAACAAAGCATTTGACCCTGTGCAGGAAGCCCGGTGGTAGACACAGGTGCATGGAAACACTTGTGCTCTGGACAAGGACAGCCTCTCTGGGCAACAAGGTACCCATTTAGCAAAAGGTAACATTAGATCCCGACCTCACACCATGCATGTGAGTAAACTCCATATAAATCAGGGATTCTGAATGTAAAAATTGCAACCATCCAAGTACAAGAAGAAAAAATGGTCACATTCCTTTATAAATTGCATATTGGACAATAGTCTAAGTCCCACTGAAAATGTTATTGACCCCACTCAAACTTAGAGAAGTGCAAATTAAACTATGACAGTACTTTGTCAGCTAGTGCTATAGTTTAGATCTGAAATGTCTCCGAAAGGCCCAGGCATTAGAAGTTTGGTCCCCAGAGTGTCTCTACTGGAAGTAGTGGGACCTCAAGGGTGTAGCAGGACCTCAATGTCCTTCCCCTTCCTCTTATTTCGGTGGTGCTGGAGATTGAACCTAGGACCTTATGCATACTTGGTGAATGCTCTACCACTGAGCTATACCCCAGTCCCTTCCCCTTTCTCTTTTTCCCTTCCCAGCTGTGAGGTGAGAAGTTTTGCTTCACCAAGCATTCCCCTCAATAATGTACCACCACAGCCCCAAAATATGGACTGGAACTGTGAACCAAAATAAACCTTTCCTCTTTATAAGTTGACCATCTCAGGTATTTGTTGGAGTGATGGAAAGCTGACCACCTCGATTACTGACCAAGTACAGAGGGGTGGAATTAGAAGGCTCCCATTGGAAAACTGCCCTGATAATTGTTCTGAGAGGAGCCAGGGATGCTAAAACTAATTGTTCTGGAAGGAGCCAAGGATGCTAAGACCTTGAGAGGACGTTGACAAGAAAACAGTTTCAAAGTATCCCCCATAGGACATATTTTCATTACAAAGTGAAAAGTAGTACTGTTACAGCAGAGATACCTTATTATGGCTTGACCACAATAATAAAGTGTAACAATTACAACAGTGCACTGTAATAGAGGGTATGGTGGCACATGCCTGTCATTGCAGCTATGAAGGGAAGCACAAATAGGAGGATTGTGGTCCAGGCTGGCCTGGGCATAAAGCAAGACCCTATCTCAAAAATAACCAACACCAAAAGGACTGGTGGAGTGGCTCAAGTGGTAGAGTGCCTGCCTAGCAAGTACAAAACCCTGAGTCCAAACCCCAGAACTACAAGAAAGAAAGAAAGAAAGAAAAGAAAGAAAAATTATTTAGCGTATAAATTGTGTATTTCTGGAATTTTCCTTTTAATGTTTTTGGACTGTGGTTGACCATGGGTAACAGACCACAGATAAGGGTACCACTGTGCATAGTATAGACCTCACTGCAAAAAGAGGAAAGGAAAGCATTCAGGGACTTGGGATGGATGGACACAGGGGCAGCTACATAGTGAGGTGCAGGCTCAAGGAGCAGGTTTTCCCAGCGGATGGCAGAGAAATGCCGAGGGCCCTTTGTGCTCTGTTGTAGAAAGGCCAGATCTGCAGCATGCTGTGTGTTCAACTCAGCCATTTGCTCAAGCTCCAGCCACTCCAGGCTGTAGGTATTCAGCATCTGCATGGTGCTGGGTGTGGCATGGCCAGGATGGGCCCTGTGACTGCTCCATGTTCGTGGAGAGGCTGAGGGACCTCAGGCGCCTTCCTGACCTCCAGGTGCAGCCACTATAACAAATAGAACTAGAACACCCACTGGGTTGAAGACTCCGGGAGGATCGGTTTCTTTGTCTTTTTCAGCTTCTAGGGGTCACCATATTCCTTCACGGCTATTTCTGCCACCTTGGAAACCAGCACGGAAGCATCTTCGCCTCTCTGGTTCTGGTCTCAGCCATCACCATGCTGTTTCTTCGAGCTCTGAGCTTCTGCCTCCCTCTCCTGACGATCCTATGATGATGGGGTTCCTGGTAATCCAGGAGGATGCCCATCTCAAGACCTTGCCTTAGTCACAGCCACAAAGTCCCTCTGTCACATGTGGTGGCATGCGAGCACGATCAGGCCATGAGTGTCTTGGGCTATCAACAGGCAGGGAGGGGAGAGAGTCTGGGTCTGCAAAGAGCATCAGACACAGCAACAAGAGCCAGCAGAGGCTCACGGCAGGGAGGGACTCCCAGCGGAAGCAGAAAGCCAACTGATCTGGGAGACCCTGTCCTCACACACACCTTCCTGCTGAGTTGAACTCTCCATCCACACCCCGAGTTCCTGCGCAGAGCAGTGGGAGGGCCCTGGTCTGAGATGGGGTACTTCACCACATGGAAGGCCACAGCCTCTTGGGTACGTGTGTGACCCCACAGGAGCTCTGCTGGGAAAGGCAGAGGTGAGGACCTGAGGCAGAAAGAGGGGAGACTGTTACCCCGGATCTGTAGAAGCCTTCTTTGTGAATGGCCACCCCCTGCCAGTTGGATGCAGATCTCCAGGGGTGGCATATCTGGGGCAGGGCCATCACACAAGTCCCAGGGAGCCTCTGGTGCACTGCAGGGTCCCAGGCCCAAGTGTCCTGAGCGTGGAGCAGGGACCACAACTTCTTGACTGATGTTCTGGAATGTTCCAGTCCTGGTGGTGAGGAGGATCTTCCAGAAAGCATTCCTCCTCTCCCTCTCTCTCTCTCTCTCTCTCTCTCTGTCTCTATCTCCCTCTGCAATGCTGGGTGCAATGCTGAGGCAAGTGTCTACCACTGAGCCTACATTTCTTTCCTCACATATTTTGCAAGAGGTGCTCAAACTGCTTTTGCTGAAGAGCACTGACTCCTTCTTGGGCCACGAATTAACTAACAGCAGGAGAAAAGCATGGCATCTCTCCTCCTTAGAGGTTGCTCTAAGCCATTCTCTTCACAGTCACTTGCAGTCACCCTGGATTCCAGGCAAGAGGGATGATAACTTCTTCATGACAAAGGACAGAAACTACCCTCAACAGTAGACCTTCCTCAGGACGGACCACCTGCCAGGTGACACTGATCTAGATTACAACCTCTCCCAGAACCAGGACTGAGGTAATGATCAACCAGAACACACTGTGACTGAACCGTTTATACATACCTTTTGTCCCCTCCCCCCAGTTCTTGGTCCATTTAAACCTAGAGCTCATCTCTGTACCCTAAAGATGGCCAAAGATGGGTTGAACGCTTACTCTGGCTCTTCCCGAGCAGTGTAATAAATCTTTCTCTGCCTTCACCAGGCCTGGCCAGACCAAAGTTTCTTCTGAGAAATTTTGGCCATTTCACCATGACATCAAGGAGGTGCTCCTGACAGTAGCAGGAGGTATCCAGTCGCCCAAAGGAACCACCCTTTCCTAGGGTGACCTTTGGAGATGTCAAAGGTCCTGGACACCTGGGTTGGATGTGTGGTGATGGGAGGACACAGGGACTCTTCCTTACCTTATCTTGCAGGGTGAGTGGAGACAAAACAAATGGGACCCCACTGCTTCAAAGCCTGGTCCACTCCTCCCTCTCCTGTCCCAGTCACCACTCAGGTTACCAGCTCTCAACTCCAAAGACTTCTGCTATGTCACTACCTCCATCCTGTCCAGCCCCTTCCCCACATTCTGGGTAAACACTGGTTAGGGGGCTGGTAACACAGGTCAGTCCCTGTAGCCAGATCCTGCTCTGTCTGGTTCTGTTCACACAATCTCCTGAGGGAAGGTGCACCTGAACAGAGACACAGAGAAATTACTTCTGGCCTCAGGACCCAGGGCCCATGACTCCCCTTATCCCCAGGCATAGGAGGGTACATGGTGGATGGTAGATTCTAGCCCACCAGTCCCTCCTGGTGGGAAGCACTGACCACAGGCCTGGCCTCTGGGCGGGGACAGTGAGGCCTAAAGGGAGGGGTTAGGACCAGGGAGAAAGGGGTCAAGGGAGGTCCACGTGGTGGCAATGGCTGGTGGGTACAGGGACTGGGGCAGGTCAGGGCCTAGGAGGGGCAACACAACAGATCCCCAACTCTGCACCCTGGGGGAAAGAGAGGCACCTGGCCAGAGGGTCCCCTGGGGTAGTCTTCACCAGGCCACTGCCTGTTGAGGATTGCTCCTCAGGTAGGTCACCATTGCCCTGGGCCTTTAGGCAGATGAGGCAGGACCTGGTTATAGCCACTCCATGATGGAGCAGTGCTGTCCCCAGGAGGCTATGGTGGATGGGTCCTTCACCTTTCTCCTAAGGTGCCAGCTATGACTCACCCCCACTGGACTCCCACCCCATAGGTGCCTGTTCTGTACGGACTTCGGATGCATAGGGTGACCATGCAGGGTCCTGTAGAGCTGGCACCTGTGGCATTGGAGGAAGGACTTGAGCTGTCCCTGACAGCTCATAAACTCTCACCTCTCATTAGAGGGGAGGGAGGCAAATACAATCTACCTTGCTATGGCTCAGAGGAAGCTGGGCCTGTTATAAAAGGCCACACCCCACCCCCAGGACCCCAGGTGGAGCTGACCTCCTTCCTGACACCCCCAGGCCATCCCCAGAGCCCTGTTCACGTCCTTCCTAGACTTGCAGAGACACACATTCACACAATCCAGAGAGATTATGGGGAGCACGCGAGATCAAGGAACAGGAGGGAGGGGGAGGGCCTGCTGAAGTCCTGGCTAAGGATGCCCTGCAGATGGGAGCGGGGAGTTGTCAGCAAGGCTCTGGGGGACTCCATGCAGCCCCTGGGTGCAGCCTGGTACCTGGACTTGACACTGCAGACTCAGGCCAGAGAGGCAGCCCCTGGGCTTAAGCTAGATCCATATGTGACAGAGGGAGGGACTTTAGGGGTCCACTCCCCATGTCAAGGTGGGGACTGGGGCCCTGTGGGCAGAGGGTGGCAACAGTGTGGCTGTCTCGCCCGGGCCCCAGCTTCAGCTTCTCACCTGATTTGGGGAACGTCACCAGGAGGACATCTGTGTCCTGGAACTCAAAGGAACAAGCCGCCTTCAGGGACTCTGTGGTGTGCATGAACCCAGGAAAGCGGATACCATCGAAGACCTCAACGACGTCCCTGTGATTGCTCATACTGGACGCTGGCGGGGCAGAACATGGTCTGAGGTTCCTGCAGGCAAGGGGATCAGTTACCCTCACCTGCCTGACCAGGGGCCCAGGCTGGCTCTAGCAGGCACAGACATCTCACCATGTCACCATGCTGGCCATTTTCTTCAGGTGCCACCTCAATGACCTGGTCACTTAGGCCAGGGAAGGCTGCAGTCCCTCAGGGGAGACTGCTCTGGGCTCTGGCACTCTGGGAGGCAAGTGCTTGGTACCCTGTGGTCAGCAGAACTATCAGCCGCCTAAGGCCACTTGCTGGGCTGCACTTGAGCAGCAAATTTTGGTGGGCGTTACATGTTGTGAATATTCCCTTGCAAACTCCGTCTCAGTCCCAGAAGACAGGGGTAGTAAGCTTGCTAAATTTTGCCCAGAGACCCGACCTACCAGGCAGAAACTTTCTTTGTGCAGCTGCAGCCCAGCCTGGGCTGGCAGGAATGCAGTGATGTGGTTGGGTCTGGGAGCAGCCCACCCCTTGCCACCAGTCCCACCCCCTGTCTCCTTCTGTTCTCCCTACTCACCACAAGGTCCTTCTCTCTGTGCCTGGCTGTTCACCACAGCCAGGCTCACCCACCACTTGGGCAGTTCAAAAGAGGCTCCACCCTGAGGTTGGCTGGGCCTGGGTCAGAGGACTGCATCTCCTTGTGCCCCGCCCACTTCCCCGCCCACTATTTCTGCTGTGGGGAGGGGCAAGAAAGGGATCGAGTAACCATTGGGACAGATTCACTTCTGAGCAAGCCTACGTGCATTTTAGAAATGGTTGGGTATGTTTGATTTCCAAAAGCTTGACGTGGTTTTCCTGCGACAAAAATGCTACCTGCTCAAGGGCAAAGGGGAGGAAGAGGCTGGCTTGTAAGGGGTCAATCCTGGGCCCTTCCAATGTCTTGTCTCGGTCAGAAGAGAGTATCACATCTTTGTCATCCTAGAGCCACAATTTTTATAGGGTTTAAAAAAGATATTTGTGGTAAGTAGTGGATACAATTTATCCTCACTGTTAGCATGACCCCCGCCATCTTAGATGCCTGCAGTGTGTCACAAGTCATAGGGGAAAAATGCCCACACAGCCCCCAGCAGCACAGGTATCCTGTTTGGCAAGAATGTGGTTTAGCAGAGCACCTGTGGCTCACGCCTGTAATCCTAGCTACTCAGGAGGCAGAGATCAGGAAGATCCTGGCTTGAAGCCAGCCCAGGTATCTTGAAAATACCCAACACAAAAAAGAGCTGGCGGAGTGGCTCAAGCAGTAAGAGTGGCTCAGGCATGAGGCCTTGAGTTCAAACCTGAGCACTGCCAAAAAATAAAAGGTAGCTTAATTGAAGAACTGCTATCCTAGCAACAGCTAATCCCAGAGCTGCTAACCCAAAGAATTTCAAAGAATTTCTCCCCACCCAGAGTAGCATGCAGGCACCCCCATTAACCTGTAACTGCCATGGTTTGTGAGTGGAGTTCAGGCTCTGGTTTTGGCTGCTGTCCCCCTCTGTAGGGTTTTGCTCTCAAATAAACCTATGTTGCTGTTGAGCCACCACTCTCCGTTTTTCTTTTCTCGGTGCTCTTGAACCTAACATTTTGGTGCTGAAACAGGGTATCTCCTCATGTAACCTGGGAAGCAGTGGGGAGCGGCAGCTGGTCCCAGGCTGACTCCTAGACTCTGATCCCACACCCTACTCCCAATCCCCTCTCTTCAACCTCTCTTTTCTTCCTTTCCCTCTCTGTTTTGTTTCTTTTCTTTCGCCTGCTCTCAACCTAACCCAAGTTACAAAGAAACGAGAACACTGTAACAGGAAAGAAAGCTCAGAAAGGCTTTTCTCTCTCTTCCCTGCTGTATAAGGACTAGCTGGCATTCCCTGTATCACAGCCAGTTTCACTCTCTAGGCAGATAGATGCCAACAAACACACAAAAGAATCTTGTTTTCTTCAATGCTGTTGCAGTGAGAGATAGGGGTCCATGCATATTTGCCTGGGGCTGGCTTTGAACCTTGATCCTCCTGATCTCTGCTTCCTGAGTAGCTAGGATTATAAGGCTGAGCCACCAGTGTTCACCTCCTCATTTTTTTAAAAAGTAACTGCATGAGGCTGGGAGCAGTGACTCATGCTTGTAATAGCAGCTACTTCAGAGGTGGAGATTGGGAGACTGGAAAGTCAACCCTGAGCAAAATTAGCAAGACCTCATCTCAATAAGCTGGACATGGTGGTCCATGACCGTGATCCCAGTTGAGTGGAAGGCCAGAGGTGGCAAGGAGGATTGCTGTCTGAGGCACTCCCAGAAGACTCCCAGGAAGAAGAGAACTCCATTCTTTATTCAACAGGTGTCTGTGGTGTTCCCCTGTGCCTGGCCCTGCAATGGACACAGCAGAGAACAAGCCATATAAGCCTCAAGGAGTGTCTTCCCAGAGAGAGAGAAAACAGACGAAAGACAGAAGTGTGTTTGAGCACCAATGCCAAGGAGAAAAGGGAGGGAGGAGGATCAGCAGATCAGATAAGATTGGGCCCTGGGTTTGGGAACAGCTAGTGCCAACCACGAAGAGAAGACTCTGAGCAAGGGAAGGACAGGCAGTGGGGCAAGAGCCTGTGGGATGGAGTGGGCAGCAGAAATGGTCGCTGTGAACTCTGAACCCTTGTGCTCATCCAGTGCTGCTAGCCAGCTCTACTGCTGGCTTTGTAGGCGTCAGAGACGGGTTCACTTGCAGAAGAGTGGAGCTTAGAGGTGAGAGCCGGGGTGCACCTGATTGCTCCTGCCCTGGGCACAACAGATCCCTGAGCAGAGAGAGTTGACAGGCAGAGACTGGGTTTTGGGCGGATGAGGTTGTTTGGGGTGAGGGTGGGGTGCAGAGAGAGGGGTAGGGTACAGAAGGAGGGGTGGGGATCCTTCCTGGAGCAATGGGCTTTTTTTCCTTTTTTTTGGTAGGACTGGGGTTTGAACTCAGGGCTTCATGCTTGCAAAGCGAGCACTCTTCTTTTATCTTTTTTTTTTCCTGTGGTATTGGGGATTGAACTCAGGACCTACACCTTGAGCCACTCCACTAGTCCTTTTTAGTGATTTTTTTTTTTTTGAGATAGGGTCTCACAAACTATTTGCCCAGACTGGCTTTGAACCTCAAGCCTCCTGAGTAGCTAGGATTACAGGTGTGAGCCACCAGCACTGGCTCCTCATTCATCCTTTTAACTAACTTCTCACCCTAGGGAAAATTTGGTAGCAGTCATCTTTAGCCGTTAACAAATGTAGTCTAGAAAAATTTCCAATCTGCAAAGCTGACCCAAGGGAAGCCTCTCCCCCTTGTCCTGGAGGGGGCCTCCTCCTTCCCCTACCCTTCCGGGCACCCCTTGTGTGAGAGAGAGGAGGGAGCAGAACTGCACCTGGCCCTGGACAGCTGCAGAGCCTTATGCAGCAAACGTTCATTGAATAACTACAGAGTACAGCACTGCTTCAGCCCTAGGCGTGGTGGGAGCAATCACACTCTTCCTGGACTGCCAGGGCTCCTGGTGGGGAGAGAAATAAGTAAATGATGTGCAAGTGAGATGGTGAGGTACAGTAGCTCATGCCTGTAATCCCAGTACTGAGGAGGCTGAGGCTGGAGGAGCCTGGGCTACATAGTGAGTCCCTGTCTCCACCGAGGAGTGGGAGAAAGAGAGAGACTGAAAGGTGACTGAAGCTTGTGTATGGATGGGGGCCTCTTTGTGCAAGGCAATGAATGAGGACAGATGGACCAGCACAGGCTGGTCAATCTGAGCACAAGACTGCTCTGGTCCTCACTAGAAGCAGATGTGGCTCTGGGGCAGAACCAAACCCAGAGCTCACACCTGCTGTGTCTGTTCTTCAGACTTCTTCAATGGCACACTGCAGGGCATAGCCTGCTGTGAGGCCTCTGGCAGCTGGCCCCTTGGCTTCTGCCTCCATCTCTCTCATGGAGGTCAGTTGTATCTACAGGTCCCAGGAAAAGGCACAGGTGTTTGAGTCTTTGCCCTTCCTTATTTGAAAACTCACAAAGTACATCCTGACCCTGGCAGCCACTTCTTCTTGCTCGACATCTAGAGAGGGTACTTCCAGCCTTTGGTCCTCATTTACTGATTTTCCCAGAATCAACCCATGACTCATGTCCCAGAGAAACAAATGTCAAGCTCTGTCTAGCAGGTGCAAGACCCTGAGTTCAAACCCCAGTATTGTAAGAGCTGCTAAAACAGCTTTTTCTGTAAAGCACTGACTCTTTACTTGGTCCAATGAATTAACTAAAAGCAGGAGAAAAGGTTGGCGTCTTCATCTCCATTGTGGATCATTGTCCTTTGCTCTGAGACATCCTCTCCTGCAGCTACCTTGGAGTCAAGGAAGGACAGGACAGACTGATAACTTCTGTGTGACTAGGGACTGAAACTTCCCCAAAGGGATAGCAGAATCTTGTAGGACAGACCACTCCCCCAATGAGGATAGATACCTGTAATGATGAGGCAGGAGTAATCATGTCTTGGGAACCAGCTTGGTCCCCTTAAGTGATACAGAGATAACAATGATGACAGTGATAACTTTTCTGAACCTCAAAGAACAAGGCCTCACCTGTGACTATGTTTAACTATTCATACTGAAACTGAATTGTAGATCCCAAGTTGGAGTCCTTGCATAGTCGATGGTTGAAGACTCCAGACCAGGAGTTAAGAGTAAAGCAAGCACAGTTTATTGAAAGGATAGCAAAAGCTCCCTAGTGCGGGAGGGGTTTTGGAAAGCTAAAGTCTAGGAGTGATACAGGGCGCTACCTGGCTTCAGTCCAACTATTCTACCTTGAAATTATATTCGTGATTGGTTGGCACCTCAATTGGTTGAGGTCAGCTTCTCGCTGAACTCAGCCACCTGTCCACCCCTCTTGTTATGGAACTGGACATTCCAGAAGGTCTGGTCAGCTTGTCCTGGCCTTGAAAGTCTGGTCAGCTCATTCTGGCCTTGGATCCCACTACCCACACTGTGCAGCTGCATCTTGTGCCTTTGGCGTGAGGCTTATTTCCCTGAGAAGCCTGTTGTTTCCCACACCTTTTTACATGTCTGCTTCTAAAGTGCCTCTCTCATCCAAAATGGAGTCATCTCTGTCATTGCTCCCCTTAAATGCCTTTTGTCTTC